TACATCATGAGTGGAGCCTTTTAGTACCCTGCATGGTTTTTATCCTTCTTCCTAACTAATTAGCAGAAGCAATGTCAGTTATAAAAATCAGTCTCATGCAAAATCAAAGACATTATTCATATTTGTTCAAGTTGCATGACTTATTCTGGCCATAGGTCAGCCCTTGTTGCTGAACTTGACAACATGTGGTGCGGAATTTTATTTCTATGCAGGAAGGACATTGCCTTGATAATGGGCTGATACATTAAACTAATTTTAAACTAGCTTGTTTGTCATAGCTTCTTTCAACTAGTTTATGTGTGCAGTATAAACATACCTTATGCTTACCTTTAGGAAGGGGGTGTTTTGAATGTAGACATTTTTGTTTTGGACAGCATAACAGTTTTGTATGTAGTATGTTCTTAAGAAAGACCAACCTTGCTTTCTGTAGTACTAATTTTAGAAACGTGCTATTCTTCCATATTTGCCAATATTATATTCCCCCAGTTAGGTAAGACTTATTTTCTGAATTTAATGCATCCATGCCTGAACCATGCTGGTAGACATCCTGATCAAACTTTTCTGAGTCATACAATAAATATAATCTTTTCTAAATTACAATGTCTGGGGCCCTAACTAATATTCTTTTCCAGGAGGAACCCTTCACTGGAGTCCCTCTCACAGGACACTCCCGCCAGCAACAGGAAGAGGGGCATTCTTGCCAATTCAGCTCCCCCCGTCACTCCTTGCACCCCTGAAAATTTGTTCCAGGGGGTTGGGTGGGGTTCTCTTGAACTGTGGGCTGGTTGTACAGAGGGCTGCAGAGAAGAGGAAAATCAGTAAAAATTACTGTCTCTTTCTTTTCTGATAGAAGTGGAGATGCTTCTATTAGATTGGAGCCCCTTTCATGGGTAGAAGGAATACCTGAGAACTCAGGATCCAACCTGTTGGCTTCAGGCAACCATACGATATACTGGCTAGATCAGCATCTTATTCTCTTGAAGGGCCAGAGTGAGTGCGAGTTGATAGTGCAGTATCTTCTGAATGAGGAGAACAAATTCTGTTGCTGTAGATGCCACTTTCTCCTCACCCATTTAGCCTTTGTGTTGGCAGCCGAAGGAGAGCAAGGTGATTCCTCTCTGTGGACCAGAATTGGTCCAGGGTCCTTCAGTAGTGAAGCTCTAACTAGCTTAAATTGAATGCCTCCAAGTGAGTAAAGATGCTTTTATTTATTTATTTTGCAGGCTGGACAGATTCAGATACATGATTTCTCATGGTTTTGAGTGGGAGGCAACCTGTCAGATTTTGAGAATCAGGATTGACTTTAGTACTGACTAATCCCATGACAGATCAGATTACTCAGCCTGCCAATGCTAGTTTCCCCACATGGAAAATGAAAGATCTGAGATCATCATTTTTAAACAAGCTTTGCGATGGACTGATAAAAAATTATTTATTTATAACATTTTTTGCTGCCCCCATCGCAACAAAGCCTCGGAGCGGCTCACAAAAAATACACAAAAACATATATAAACAATAACAATATAACAATTTAAAAGAAAAAAAAACATTTAAAACCTCCCCGGTGCATTCTCAGCTAATTTTAAAATCCTAATAAATACAATAATTTAGCAATTAAAATAAGTTTTAAATAAAAAGGTCTTAGCCTGGCGCCGAAAAACAAATAATGACTGCGCCAGGCGGACCTCTCTGGGGAGTGCATTCCATAGGTGGGGTGCCACCACAGAGAAAGCCCTCCTCTGGGTACTCACCCTCCTAATATCATTCACAGAGGGTTCCCGGAGAAGGGCATCCGTTGCCGATCTCAAGGGGCTGGAGGGCATATATGCACGCAAGCATTCATTTAGATATCCAGGTCCCAAGCCGTTTAGGACTTTATAGGTCATAACCAACACCTTGAATTGGGCCCGGACTTCAATCGGGAGCCAGTGGAGCTGACGGAGAACTGGGGTTATATGAGAACAACGCCCAGTCCCCGTCAGCAACCTGGCAGCTCTATTCTGCACCAATTGAAGTTATCAGCTTCATGTTCTGCTTCACCATTTGGCTTTGTCAGATGAGTTCTGATACAAGATTTAGGTGAAAGCGTGGGAAGGCATGTATGTTGGTTTGTATTTACTTTTGAGAAACCATGTAAATGACCTTATAAACCTAGCTTGATGCATTCAGGAGGCTAAACATATTCCTGATGACCCCTTGCTTCCAATCTGAGATGTGTTTAGAAGGAAGACTTTCAGATTGTTCCATTTTATCATTTGTGTGATATATTCTTGGTTGCCGCTGCAATAACAACAATAAGCTCAGGATTATTGGAAAGTGTTAGGTGCTGGTTCTCTGTGTTCCATCGGTGATGCACCTTGGCTGGTTGCCTGCTGGAGTGCTGATTGAGATTATGAGAAATAAAAATACCCTGTTCTCAGGAGATTTTGGGTTGCGTATAGATCATATATTCAGTAAAATTAGGGTTGCCTCACTAATTTTCAGTAATTGTGCCATTTGCCAAACTTTAATAAGGGCACAGTCCCATGGTTTTCATCACCTGGAAGACCAAAGAATGTTTGGAGCCCCAGCTCCAAGATCACAGGTCTCAGAACTGGGACTCTGAAGGCTAAGCCCCACCCCCATCACAGCTGATGGAAAGAACCATGCTGACTTCCTCCCTCAATGTGGGGCAGGGGAAAGATGCTGGGGTCAAGGAATAACACCAGTTCCTATCAGCATTGCAGCTTCCTTCCCTCACTTCTCCCACTGCTTTATACAGGCTGAAATGACTGTATAGATAAAACAACCGATATGAGGCACAGTGGTGGTGGAGACTGCCATTGCTGCATCTCATTCCGGGCACAGGATGCCACTGAGTTCAGAACCTTATGAGCAGGGCAGGCATGGGACACAGGTTTGTGGCTAAACCCTTCTTTACACGTGATTAGTTCTATATTGTTTCCAACTTTTTCCGAAAATCATTTATGCTGCATTTAACAACATAGATATCATTGGCTGCTGAATTTTTGGATGTAAGATTGGAAGGATTCTAATATTATTATTTTGGATCTGTACGACAAGCTGCCTTCAATTATCTTGGCAACATCCCACTTAACTTGAAATCTTGAACTTTTGGGCATGTCTATTCATATGTATAAAATCAGCCAATTTCACCCAAAATTTTTCAACATGCACAATTTTGTTTTCTGTATGTATATTATTTATTTATTTATTTTTGGATTTATATTCTGCCTTTTTCCTACAAAGGGCTCAAGGCAGCTTGCATCATTCTCCTCCTCCATCTTATTCCCACAACAACAGCCCTGTGAGGTAGGTTGGGCTGAGAGTCTGTGACTGGCCCATGTCACCCAGTTGGCTCCATGGCTGAGCGGGGACTAGAACCCAGGTTGTCTGAGTCCCAGTCCCACACTCTTAACCACTACACCACACTGGCTCTCACTGTATGTACATTACTCAAGCTATAAGGTATTAGATACCAACAGTAAATCACTTTATTATAATACTTTTCAAATTAACAACTGAATTGACCATTATTCTTGTAGAAATTGCTATTTTTCTTTACTGATTCTTGCTGTTGTCATTGTCTCCCGATAGAGTCTGTCTGTCATTCTTCCTTGCCTTCTTTCTTTGTTTAGAAAATCACTAATTTATATTTGCCGCTAAATCTTTTGTCTCTAACAATTGAGTTGCAAATTTAGATAGCTGCATCAGACAGTGCCAGTCCTAGACTAATTATTTACATAGCTCTTAATTTTGAAACCATGGGGTTGATTCAGCTGCATTCTTGTTCTAAACTTATCCCAACTTGTTCATGTTTCAGTAAGTTATGATACCATATTTTATCCATAGCTAATCTTTGAGAGCAACACAAAATGTTTTGTTGTATAGATGGAGTTTAAGTGGGGGATATAAATGGACGCAAGCATCTTTTTACCTCCTGCTTTCATTATGGACAGAATAAAATGTTGTTCAAGACTGTTTTATTGCTTTTACTAAAGTTTCCTTTATAAACTCATGGCAAATGGATAAGGGAACTTTATTATTATTCTATACTATCATATACCAGAGATTGGCATTGTTTATTATATTTCATCTTATCCCTTTTCATCTCATTGCTTGATGATATTTTGTAATAATATTGTACTCCACCTTGAGATTTATGTCTTTATAATATTATTAAAGCTGTTCTGTGTTCTTTTTTGTTGTTGTATATTGCCAAGTCATCTCCAATTTATGGCCACCCTATGAATGAAAGCCCTCCAGATTGTCCTGTCTGTGACAGTTCCATTCAGCTCTTTCAAATGCAAGGTTATGGCTTCCTTTATTGATTCAAGCCACCTCATATTTGGTCTTCTCTTTTGTATTTCCCTTTCTTCTCCAGGGAGTTTTGTCTTCTCATGATGTGTCCAAAGTATGTCAACCTCAGTTTTGTAATTTTTGTTTCTATGGAAAGCTCTGGCCTGATTTGATCTAGGATCCCCTTGTTCATCTTTCTGTCCTTTCTGTGATTGGGAATTCAATAGTTTGGATGAGCTTGACCTTGATTTCCAGTAAAATGGTCTTACACTTCCTTCATTGCTGCCCTCACACTTCAAATTTATTGGCTGCAATTTCCTTCTTTATTGAAGACTGAGTCAAGTTATGTGAAATTTAACAGTAAAGTCCTGTAATTCTTCTGTGAACATGATTTTTTTTGTTTCCTCAGTATTCAGCTGCGATCCTTCTTTTGTGCTTTGTTCTTTCACTTTTATCAGGAGTCATTTCAAGTCATTGCTGCTTTCTGCCAGTAGTATAGTATTATCTGAATATCTTAAATTAGTGATATTTCTTCCATCAATTTTCATTTCTTCCACTGATTCGAATCCAACTTTCCTTATTATATATTCTGCATACAGATTAAATAGATAGGGAGACAAATGTGTCCATGTCTGACACTTTTGGGAAACGGTTCGGTTTCTCCATACTCTGTCCTAAATGTACTTTCTTGTGTGTGATACAGGTCACACAAAATTCTGTAAAAACAAGTTATTATTTAACTCAATTGGACTTGTTCCTTTGAGTAAACAAAGTCTGGGTAATATTGTTATTTTTTTGATTAGGACAATTCATCCAAGGCTAGAGAGCTTTAAATTATTCCAATTTTAATATCTCTTTTTATATTTTTCCCATATTATTAAAAATCATCTTCAGTTTCATCAGATTATTCAGTTGAGAGAGGTAAACATGTTAGCACTTAGAGCACCTGAAACTCGCATTGAATTCTCTGTTAGTTATGAACCCTAATTATCTTAGCTAGTCAGACTGGCTAAGCAAGGGTTGGTGGAGCTGAGAATTATGGAAATTTGGGAGGGATCATATTTTGAAACTCCCAAAACTATTTCAACCAAGATGAGCCATCTGACTCTCAGTTTCTATAGAATGTTTTTAATGAGCAATGCTTTGTGAAGAGAGCTTCAGCAGGAATCTACATTGAAACACTGTTATATTAAGACCAAAGTCTGCTTTTACAGGTGAGTTTCACTGTTTGTTAGTGGCCATGACAATAGAAATGATTTATAATTATATATTTTAATTCAAAATTACTGAGCTATTCATTTTGTTTGCCTTAAATGTATTAGTGTTAATTTCGTTTCTGTACTGCCCAATAACTCTCTCGGTCATTCATAAAAAACAAACAAACCAACAAGCAACATAAATGATCTTGGGATTTTTATATGTGTTTGACAGAAAGGAAAAAATCCTGATAACCAATCTCTCCTTATATGGAAGATTATCCATTTCCCCATGACAAAATACTATGGACTGTATAGCTGGGGTCACACTAGCATTCTCTACACAGTTGCATTACATAAATGTTTGAATGTGTTGTAGCTGCTAATATATAGGTGAAACTACACGAACCAATCTTGATGCTGCCTGCTTAAAAAATAAATTGGGTTATATCCCTATCAGCACTCAGCTTAGCCTTTTCTTTTTTAAAATGAATTAATTAATGGATGAAGGAAAAACTGGTACTGCTCCGTGGCCTTTCTTCATCCAGACAAAGTAGCACTGAAAGCAGTAAGTTTAATCACAAAATAGAGTGGTTAGGTATGTCTGTATAAAGGTGAGCTAGCCACTTAAAGAGGTGTTACTACCTTTTTAAATTTCTCTTTTAAACCTTGCATAGGTAGGGTCTATACATGCATGAAACTGAAGTGGGAATGAGGTGCTGGAAAGCTGAGGTAACAGAAACTTAGGAAACTACTTTAGACTAAGTCATGCTATGAGTAATGTATCATTTCAGATATCAAATGCTCCCTCCAAAGAAAAATTAAAAAAAGAAAGATTTCCACCAAATCGAAAGCTTATGGGAGAGAAGAATTCTGTTGTCATTACCTACAACAGCAACCTTGCTGGATTGGTATGCAGGGAAGCAACAGCTTGGCTTTTGACATTATCCAAGCAGTTGAGAAAGTAGGTGACTTATAGCAGCTTGTTGGAATTCATGATCATTTAATGCACCTTCAAGTGGAGGAAGGAGCACAGTTTTGTTTTGCTTTGTTTTTTAAGGCATACATATTTGATCTGGAATTTATTTCATCTTTTCTTTCCATGTTCTGATCTATATGATATGAAGTTCATCCTCATTATTAAAGCATCTGAAATGTTCTGTTCTCATATGGGCCAAGTCCAGGCCTCTGGTGTTATGGCATTGCAGACCTCAGCTAAGTGAAGTGTAGACCTTTCTGCTTAATGTTTAACTTCTGTAGAATTCCAAGTTACTGTGTCAGGAATGCAATTCCACTGGAGTTTGCAAAGTGTCCTGGTAATTTGCTTTATGTTTACTGCCCTAAATCTATGTCGCAAAAAATATGACATCAACATATTTCTCTGCATTACAGAACTGGATCTTCAATGGCCGGGGAAAGATTGATCAACGGGCTGAAATGAAAATGAACTCTATCCTAGAAGAAATTCTGATTAAAAGATCGCAACAAAAGAAGAGAACATCTCCTTTAAATTATAAAGAGAGACTTTTTGTTCTTACAAAATCCATGTTAGCATATTATGAAGGTCGTCCAGAGGTAGGAGACTGTGGTATTTTGCTGTTTCTTTGAGATGATATTTGAGTGGGATTGCTCGATTGATTTTATTCTGCTGAACATTGATAGCAGCTATAGTAAGTACATACAATTAGCACAGGATGGAGGAATCATTAACCTTGATTAGCACTTCGACTCATATGCTGGATAAGTTAGATTGTACCATTTATCAATATGCCAGAAAAAAATAAAGTTAAACCTGTAATAATCTTGCGGAGCTGGAACAAAGCTGCATCCACTCTGCCACCAAACCAATACTCATTTCTTGATATGAAGAAATGATCAGACTAATCACTTCCACTATGGCACTCACTACAACATGTATAGGTTTTATTTGAATGTCTGTGGCATTCTTCCCTTCTAAATCTTTAGATTGTAACTGAAATGATATGGACCAAATAGCTTGAATCTTACCTACTACCTTTTCCACCCTCACCCCCTGTCTTTGGCTTTGTTTACCCTCTTGCCATTTAAGGAATTCTGGAGAATCAAGTTAGCCTAATAAAAGTATTACTCCAGTTTATTGATATCATTTTTTTTGATAGGACTGTTTGGTTGCTGATACAGTGGTATCTTGGCTCACGAACTTAATCCATTCCAGGACTCTGGTTGTGACATCAAATTGGTCGTGAGGCAAGTCAAATTTCCCCATAAGGTTCAATGTAAATAAGGTTAATCCATTCTGTAACTATTTTTTTTAATCAGAAAATTTGAAGCAAAGTGACAAAGAACAACAAAGATCGCGGCCCTCTCCCCCTCAGCACGGCCATAGATGGGCACGATTGCAGGCATGCTGGGGGAGAGACAGGCGCGATCGTGGGCGCAGTGGGGGAGGAGATGGGCATGATCGTTCTGGGGGGGAGATGGCTGAGATTGCGGTTGTGCTCATGCAGGAAAGACGGGTGTGATCTCGGCCATTCCCCCCCCCCCCCCAGAACGATCGTGACCATCTCCCCATCCCCACAAGCACAATCGCTATTGCACCTGTCTTCCCTGCACGAGCACGACTGCGATCATGGCCATCCCACTTGGGGGGGTAGGGAGATGGACACGATCGTGGTCGCCACCCAATGTGGAGTTCGAATTTTGTGTGACTCACAAATTTTGTGTGAGTCAAAATTTTTATGAAATTTTTGTTCGTGACCTGATTTGGTCATGAACTGAGGCGTTCGTGAGCCAAGGTACCACTGTATCTGAAGTGCACTGAGAAGTAAAGTATAATTGTTTTTAAGTTGAAGTTGTAGACCTTTCCTGCCCACAGGTTCTCTCGTGCACTTATCCTTCTTCTACTCGTGGTTGCTTACTGGTTCTTTAGATGATGTTATGACCATCCAGTTTTGGTTTCTGTCTAGCCAGCATTTTCAGCAAGCAGGGAAATGATGACATTTAATGGTGAACGCAAAGGAAAGCATGCTTTCTTCTGGTGTATTTATGCTAGCTCTCTATCCCACAATGCCACAGCTATGTAGCACAGTGCTTTTTTTGTAAAAAAAAAAAAAAAAAGTGCTGGAACTCACCTCTTGGGGTCACACTTTTACACTAAAAAAGATTTTCAATTCAGCAACTTGAAATAAAGAACTTATTTACCTTTTGCACGTAGCCACTCACTCTACACACACATAAACATAATGGTCGCCACCGGCAGTAAGCACTCTGGAGGTCAGGCAGGTACCAACACTGTGCTGTTTCCTGAAAACATCTGTATTTCAAGAAGCCTTTCTTGGTTAATCAGCCATGGGTTTTTACGTATACTCAGTTTAAAGATGGAGTTTTATTCTTTCTAACTTAAAAAAAAATGTTCACTCTCTGGAATCTGCTTAGATGCAGAACAGGATAAGAATATTGTAACTAAATAAACCCATGTTAGACCCAGCAGCTGCTTGCACCAGTATTGTCTCTATTTGTGAGTGTGGAAGGGCTGGCATAGAAAGAAGCAACAGCTTGGATTTTGACCTTATCCAAGCAGTTAAAGAAGTAGGTGACTTACAGTAGCTTCTATGCTGCTGCTTTGGAAAGAAGGGCCCCAGCTCAGAGTGCAAGCTTTGCATGCAAATAATCTCATAAAGAGAGCCAGTGTGGCATAGAATGTTGGGCTGGGACAGGGAGGGAAATGCCATGTTTTTTTCTTATATGAAAAATTAGAACTTGTTGGAGGTATTTACTTATTTAATTAATTACATCCTGCCCAACAGTCAAGAACCCTTGGACCAGTGTTTAGTCATAAAATGCAAATCAGCATTGGATTATCAACCAAGCAAATAATATAGTTTAAAAATGTTAAAAAGGTACTATAAACTTTTAAGAACTAGCAGCTCTCTCATAATGAAGACAGCAAATTAAAGATTAAATACTTGTTAGAAGAGGATGGTCATAATCTAGTGTCTAAAGACATCCACTGAAGATGCCAGGGAGACCTCTTTGGGAAGGACCTTCTCCAGGGAGGGACCATGACAGAGAAGGTTATTTCCCTGGTGGCCACCTCTCACACCACTGTGAGTGGAGGGACCTAAAGAAGAGTCTCTGAAGATTATCTAAATCGGCAGGAACATATGGGAGAAGGCACTCCATTCAAGTTAACTGTCCTAATCTTGTTTAGGGCTGTGACATTCAGCACCAGTGCTCTGAACCAGTCCTGGAAACTGATTAGCAACCAGTGTAGTTGCCTGTACTAATATGTTCAAAGTAGACAGTTGTAGGAAGCAGTCTCTGCCCTAATGAGTTTTTGGACCGATTTCAAGGTAGCTCCATGTGCAACACATTACAAAGGTCATTTTGTTTAAATGATTAAAGCGGAGGTTTAATTTTTTTTAAGCTGTGAACTCGACGTGATGTGACTTGGAACTTACCTTGCATGACTTCCTTACAGGATTGTGCCAAAGTGAAATAGTACAGGTCAATTGGTGACGAATTAAAATCTTGTTGTGGTTCACTGGGAATTGGTTTCCAAATGGTAAAAGGATTGAAGCCCTATGGTCAGGAAGAATTGTGCTCTCAGCTAGATGAGGCTGAGCAGAGGGCAGCAGCATCCGTCTCGGTTAAGTTGAAGAGGTAGAATATGGGGAAGTCTAATAAGCAGGGATATGGTTGCGTATGTTCTTTTTATCAGGAGACAAATTGCTCAGCCTGAACAGCAGAGCAAAAAGTGACTTTGCTTTTTCTTTCATTTATTTACCACCTTGCTACCAAGCCATCGTAAGCAATTTATCATTTTAAAACATTAAACAAGTGCTACAAAATATGTGATTGGGCAACAGAATTCTCTCATGATGGATGGTCCCTTTGGCATCTGATGGCATGTGCTACCCAGGCTTCCCTCAGTGGATACAGAGCTGCACTGGATACCTCAGTCAAAAAACCAGCTGCTGAGCATAACACAGCCTGCATAGTGCTTGCTTGATGCTAAATGAGGTTGCTCTTCTTGTCACTTTTGCCAGGAAAGATCACTGGGGAAACAAGGCTACTGTACAATGGAAATGACTAGGTCAGCACCCCTGTTTTCACCAGAAAGCCACTGGCCTACTGAGTCTGTGAAGTATCACAGAGGAGCAGGATAATGAACTTGTTTGTGTAGTTATATTACATCATGCAGATTTTTCCCCTTTGAAACTTATTGCCAAATATGTTTCAGAACTGAAAATAATTATTTAGTACTGAAATGTCACATGGGCATTAGTGTGAAAGCTTGGACTTGAAGGTGACTTATATTTTTAGACATGTGTGACCATGAAACCAAAGCACAAAGTTAACAAGCAAAACTTGTTTAAAAGAGAGAGAGAGGAGTTTCCTAGGCAAGATGTGAGGAGCATCTTACTTTGCAAACAGTTTGTAATTCTGCTGGTCTATCAAGAATTTCTGAAGAATTAAAGTCACAGTCTTGCATGCATTTACACGGGAGTGAGTCCCGCTGAATACTGTGAGACTTGCTTCTTAGACATGCATAGCATTGTACTGTAAAAGAACAAATTCAGTTTTAAAATATGCAACAAAAATTATGCCAGTCATTTATTTCAGCAAAGAACTATGCTGATGCTGAAGGTGATTGCAGATTGTTATAATGAGGGCCCTGAAAGCTAGAAGCCTGGAAATAAATTTTGCAGATATTGGAAAATGAATGTTTTGGGATTACCCAATGTTATAGCTATTAGTTGAAAGTGAATCAACTCCATGAAATATTGGTGTTTAGCAGATATCCCAGTCTGCTTAGCAAGCTCAAAACCTGTTTTGATTTTTTGTGGGAGGGGCAATGTTCTAAAACATTTGCATCCTGCTTTTTTGCTCAAATATATTCTTAAGGGGCAGTCAGGGTGGCTCATCTTTTAAAATAATTTCCTGCAAGAAATCAAGCACCTTCTTCCTTCTCCAGTAGAAATTGTATCCAGGCAACCAACCTAGAAAGTCCATTTTACAGCAGGTCTTCCCAGTGCTATCGTAAAACCCTGAACAATTGCACATAGTCAGTATAAGGCATGTCAGCTGCCTTCTACTTCGTTTTGTGAATTTTGACCTGTGCATTAGTTTATCTTTCACATAGTCTATTCTTATCTCCTTTTGTTCCCTGTGCCCTACTTGGCCTGTGAAGGGAAGTATAAAGATTGTAAGATAATTAGATTTGTGAACCACAAAAGAAAAAATGAAGAAGGGTGGTGGTGGAAGAAAGCAGATTAGAACGATGTGAATATTTTTTGGTGAGGTCTGAAAGCTTTCCCTTGTCTTTGGGTATGTCAGCTATGCTAACTCACAGATGAGCTAAGACACTCTGCACAGCATTTAGACACAGATTGGGTTCACATGGCATGGCAACACATCATGGGTAACTAGCCATGGTGGGTAACTAGCCTTGTTCTGTTATCCAAACAAGGACCTCTTCCTGCAGGTTGGCATGTTTTGGGGTAACAAGCCACCCTGACAGTGCATTGCTTGTTCTAGGGGTTGTTTGACCCACAAAGGGTAGTCATGTGAAACCAAGATATTTTTCATTGTGGGTTGCAAGAATTGGCCAGCTGCTCCTTTGCAATCTCTTTGCAAAACCCCTTCCTGTTCTTTGCAATCTCACCAATATCACTGCCAGTGCTGAAGCAGTACTTTAGAATGACCATCACTGGCTTACAACCTTTAAAAAAAATTTGCCTTAGAAATATGTATTCATGGATTGTGAAGGTAAAATCTTTGGTTGCTAATCTGCCTTCTCTCAAGGATGATTACAAACAAACAAAGGATTCTCTTCATCTTTCTAGTATGGACTTCAGTAGCCTGAGCCATAGGAGTTTAGGTTTGGATTCCTTGAGTTGCATACAGGACTGCTTTAGTAATGGCTTAATCAAGCTGATGTTTTCATTGCACATATCCCTTGTAAATATGGCAACACAGTTAAGCCAGATGTAATTGTGTTGTGTCTCCAGTACAACATAGATGGTATGTACTCAACGTCATGTTCCAATATTTTCAAAACAGTGTGCAGTCCTTGAAGTAGCAATATGAGAATTGTATCTGACCATTTCCTCTCAGTATCTAACCATTTCCTCTCTGTATCTAACCATTTCCTCGACGCATCAGTAAAAGTGTGGTACTAATAATACAATTAGTGCAGTAATATTGCTGTGCATGGGATGCAGGTGGCGCAGTGGTTTAAACTGCTGTGCTGCTGGACTGGTTGATCAAAAGGTTGCCGGTTCGAATCTGCACAACAGGGTGAGTTCCCATTGCTCCGTCCACCTCCTGTCAACCTTGCAGTTCGAAAGCATGCAAATGCAAGTAGATAAAACGGTACCACTTCCGTGGGAAGGCAACAGCGTTCCGTGCACTTCGGTGTTTAGTCATGCTGGCCATATGACCACGGAAACTGTCTGCAGACAAATGCTGGCTCCCTCAGCTAGGAAACGGATATGAGCACCGCCCCCTAGAGTCAGACATGACTGGACTTTACGTCAAGGGGAAACCTTTAACCTTTACCTTTATTGCTGTATAACACCCCCCTTTCCTTAACAGTGAGGTTCTTTGGCTTAGTTTTCCACTGTGTTCAATGTTAGTGTCTATGTAATATCTGTGTCTTTGTAATATCCATTATTTACAAATATGTAAAAAAATGGGTCTTCTGTAAGTAAGCAGAATGTACAGAGCACAACTGTTAATCCTGTTTGAAATTCCTTGAGGGGTCAGCTGTGTCCCAAGGTGCTTTACCTTAACTCAACTCTTGCCTGTTTGATGGCTTGGTCAGGTTCAAACATGATAGGAAACTGTGGTTTGCTTCTATGTGAATGAGCTGTGGTGAGACTTGGGCTCATGTGCTCTCCTCCCACTGCTGTCCTCCCGTTGCCCTGCCAGCAGAATTTGATTTTAGTGTAACCATTGTTCTCTATGACATCAAGTTGGAGAATTTAGGCTCCCCAAAGGGTGGGGCAGGGGACAAGAGGAAGGCAAATATGCCCAATTCACCACCTGCTTATGCCCTGTGATAATTACCCCCAGGTGAATATGGTCCTAGCCCAGGGGTCGGCAACCCTTAACACTCAAAGAGCCATTTGGACCCGTTTCCCACACAAAAGAAAACACCGGGAGCCACAAAACCCTTTTGACATCAAAAATGAAGATAACACTTCATATATCATTTTTTATCTCTGGCAGCTTCAAATAAAAGACTGTCACCTGTTTTAAAAAAGGACTTCTGGCCAGGCTAGGTTTGGTTTGGCTCCTAAAATGTAGAGCAAGGAAGGCTTGGAGGAGAGCAGTTGAAGCAGTGGATCAGTGGCAAGGTGAAGGTCAAGGGAACCAGAAAATTATCTATTTGAACAGTGCCCCAAAAAGTGAGGACTAGCCTATTGCAATCAAGCCCAGTTAACATGAAAGAGAAGCTAAATTATAGTAGATGTTTAGGCTTAAGAATATTTCTGTAAACTTAAGCTTGGGCATGTTATCTTTTTATCTATGGAGAATGCGCATTTTGTAAATGAAGGATTTGGTCCAAAGGAGTATGAGTCATCTGAATAGTGATTTGCTGGATGAGGCCTTCTTCCAGAGGTCTGGACGCTGGAGCCTTCTGTTGAGAGTCGTCTTGTGTCTCTAGGCCTGCTGATTTGGGGTAGTAGAGCATATACATTAAAAAAGATCCTCCTCCTCAAATTGGCACCAGAATGGAGGGATGGTTGACAGGCAGCCCTTTCTTGCTTTCCATGTGGACATTTACAGCTGTAAATTAATGGGAGATGCATTGGCAGCTAGCCCAATGGTTATATTTTGCCTTCACTGTAGGAGGCAATGTGCCTCTGAGTACCAGTTACTAGGGACAATGAGTAGGCCAGTGCTATTGCACTTATATTCTCTTTGTGGGCTTCCTGTAGCTGGTTGGCCACTGTGGGAGCAGAACACTGGAACAAATAGACCTTTGGTTTGATCCAGCACAGCTCTTGTTCTATTCTTACCAAGCCTGCCTCCTATACATTTTACCTCCTGTACAATGTTCTCACAAGTGGTGTTTCACCAACAGTATTGCAGTATACTCTTGTGCTCGCCACATGGGGGAAGAGAGCTATCTTGATTAAGAAGATGGTTGTAGCACTTAAAAAATAAATCTATGTGCAGAATATCTATTCTCACACAAGAGTTGTATACCAGAAGGGTGCACTCCTGTAGAAGAATTTAAGTAATTCATAAAGTGACAGAAAATTTAAAGGGGTTGCCTCTTTCAAATGGTAATAGTATGTACAGGAGATTTCAGAGAACTTCAGTCATGGTGATGATCAGTCACTAATGCATTGCTCTCTCTCTGAAAGCCTCTAAACATTTTTTTAAAGAGTTTCACAGGCATGGGCAACCACATTCCACACATCAACTAATAAATCAAGGGAAAGTAATGTGTATTCTGGCATATTACATACTGCTTTGAGTATCTAAGTAGAAGTACTGCTTTGAAAAAAGACATGTGGACTCTATGTGGAAAGCAAGAACAAAATACTGTGAACTGATATGTAAACTCTGTCTCATATACTGTTCTGGGTTCTATCTGAAATGGGTGTTCATATGTACATTGACAGTAATAATTGTCCTTTTTATGCATCCGCCTGAATGGTTCTATACTTCCTTTGCAAAATGCAGCTGTTAAGGAGTGAATGTGAATGTTTCCTGTGTGATATTTTTAAGGGCTCCTATCTACTTTCAAATTTGAACTTTGGCATCACTTTGTGGAGTAAAATGGTAACATAGGGAAAATGAATAAATGTGGTCAGCTCTGAGTCAGATGCAGGTATGGAAAGAGCTTCCTGGCACACCTGTACCTGTTTCTAATGATGAGTAATTGCAATTTCGTTTGAGGGAGTGACTTTCAGGAGCACTCCTAGTAATGAAAATTGCAACAGGGAAATGACCTTGGTTCTCCATGAGAGAAATTAAGCCCTATGTGGTTGCAGTATTTTTCCCCCTTGTCCCCCATCATTATCTGTTGCTCTACTGACTTTTCTCTTTGTAGTTATGCCATTATTAGCTGCTTCCAGTAATTCAGATGCATTTGTTTACAACCCTCAGCCACAACCTTGTATTAATGCAGCCCTCTGGTCCTATAGGTGTCACTTGAACAATTGTGCCCTCTTCTGGTCAGACTGTATTGGATTACATTTGTTCAAGTAAGAATTTGTTCTGCAATTCTACTCATTGTAAAAATATGTCCTCATAACGTGCTTGTTTCTAATATTGCAGAAAAAGTACAGAAAAGGATCAGTTGAGATTTCCAAAATCAAGTGTGTGGAAATTGTGAAGAGTGATGGTATTATTCCCTGTCAAAATAAATATCCATTTCAAGTAAGTTTGTCTCATTTAAGACCATAGTCAATTCTGTATACTAGTCATAACTCTAAAGTTTGCTTCCAGCAAACACCTAAATGCCTTTGTTTGCCTTTAAAATATCCAGCCAAACCCTCTTGGTATAAGAAGATCCATACTGTAGTTCAAACTAGCCTGCTTTGAAGAAAAAACATATGAACTTCATGTTATGCAACCAATATAATTTTCTTTTTAAAATGTTATAAACTAGATATTACATCTGTGAACTGTGAGCAGAGCTGATTGGATTCTTATGCCCCTATTGGCAAGATGTGCAGTTTTTCCTTCTGGCATTTCTTATTAAGTAGCGGAGATTAAGGGTGCCTGAAGAGTTTCAAATATTTACCAAAACATTTCTGTGTACGCATTGAAACTTCTAGACCTTCCCCTTCCAATAGCAACTTCTTTGGGGCTCTTTAGATACCACCTTAGGCTGAAGACTCCTGAAGAGATTTGAAAGAGGAAGTGCAGTCAAAATGCATGGGAAATACTTGCATGCAATGCACAGAAAGCATGCAATCCACAGAAGGGGTTTCTGCACAGGCGCCATCTATTTCTATAGGATTGCACAGAGTATTTTCTAGTAGCTGTAACCAGAGAGGCTCAGCTCAGTACAAATGTGATTATAAGGTTACCTTTGAGATCGAAAGCAACAGCAACAACAACAACACTTAAGGGTCAGGATTATAAATACATACTATACAATCCTAAATGAAATAGCTTTTAAAATAACCCATGTTAAGAATTATACAAGTTTGCTTGTCCTGACTACCAGCTGCATTAGAAAGTATTACATTTCTTAAAATGAACTTTACATTAGTTTATTATTTTGTCACATACGTTTTTACATTTCTCAAAATCTGTGCATTAATAAATGGACTCCAAGTTTAAGTATAAACTTTATTTTATAGCTGCTGTCTTGCAGAACTATTTGCAGGGCAGTTAAAAATGCCCAAATTGTAAAAAACATGACTACACGATAAAGCAACAAATGAAATAGCAACATTAAATTAGTCAGATGCTAAAAGCCCTGGGAAAATAAAAATGTCTTTGCCTGGCCCCCAGAATCCATGAGAATAGGTGCCAGATGAGTTTTCCTGGAGAATTCCAGAAGCAGGACATCCCAGTCAAGAAAATACCTGGTGGGAGAACTTCAGTCATGGTGATGATCAGTCACTAATGCATTGCTCTCTCTCTGAAAGCCAATCTAATTGGAAGGATTTACTTGAATAAATAGCATGATTTTGGATGCAAGGTAAAGGGGAAGGTGTCTGTCTCTTGAAATAATCAGAATATTGGAGCAGTATTTTATAGAGTCTGAAAAATTATGCTTTAAAGGTTTTAAGGGAGGATTTCCTCACCTATCACTTGATGAATGCCAGAATCCTTGTGAAGAGGCACATAAAAGGAGTGTTATGGCTTTCTTTTATTGTTTAACCCAAGAACACCTTTGGCCCTCATGAGTTACTGATCCTAACCAGTGATTTAACATTTCTTGAAGAGTTATTAACTAGGTTCCAATGTCACAGCCAGAATCAGCCAGAATTATCAACGAAGAAAAAGTCCTGGTATATTATAACCCCTTGTCAAAGAAGAATGAGCCGGAAATCCCATTTCAGATGTAAAGCAAAGCATGGAACAAGTTCCCTGGTTTGTGTAGACATTCCCTTTGGCAGGAGGAGACAATGGTACAGCAGCATATGCTGGGATGCTTTCTTGCCCATAGTAATCCCAGTATTCTCAGCTGTTCTGGTTTACCATGACATCAGTACACAGCCATAAACTGTGTACTCTAACCCTTGCTATAGTAAATTTTATTTTGTTTCTCCTTTCCAGGTTGTATATGATAATAGCACACTCTATATCTTTGCTCCCACTGCATACAGCAGGGACCAGTGGGTAAGGAATTTGAAAGAAGGTAATTGCTGTCGGAACATTTATATCTGATATAGGATGTGATAGGACTCTAAAGGATTAAGAATTGCACATTTCTAGTTGTCTATTGCTTGAGCAGGGGAAGTGGCTGAAAAACACTTGAAGGGCTTCTCTACATGAGGCATCTGTTGAACATTTATGATTCTTCATTCATGGTACTTTGCCTGTGTGTTACATGATGTTGCCATTCTCCAGGGCCTTTCCCAGGCTTCCAAGTTGTTTTGGCAGCTTTTTTGAGAGCAAGGAAAGTGTAGCATTATCTGAGAATGGCAGAATGAATCAGAAGGTGAAGTGTATTTTCACAATTCCACTGTATTGTTGTGCCCCCTGGTGGTTTTGTAATGGAACATAGAGAAAGGCAGATAAAGGAAACTCTTGGTATGGATGGGGTATGGGGTGTGGAGAGCATGTGTAAAGGTGCTGGTCTTAATCCTGCAAAGTATCCATAATTGGTGAATTAGAAGCCTCATGTAGAAAAGCCCTAAGCAGGTGAAAGAGTGAGGAAGGAGACTCAAGTAGTTATAGACAATATATTCGGATCAAAAACTCACATCCAGTCTATACTTTTTAGCAGCTTTCTTTCCTCAGGTAATTCACAGGAAACAAGCATTCCCCCAAAACATGCCGACTGTTAGTGTGGGAATGACACATGCAAAGGAAAGAAAGCTGCTTTTAACCATTCTGGTACCTACCAATCAATTCTTCCTCCAACGCCCTCTGGACTGGGCACCCAGGTTGTTGCTTTCCACAGCGGTCAGGCTCCTTGTGGTCTTGAAGTTCAACCAAAGGATTTTTTTTTCAAGTTGAGGGAAGGGATATTTGCAGGGGAGAGGCTTTTCTTCGGTGAGCATTTCCATCCACTGATTTTCCCTTTGCAAGTGTCCTTTCAGCCACTTTATGCATGTTCTAAGGCAGAAAGGTGGCATCTCAGGACCAGGGCACAAGTTCATCCCCCTAGGAATTTCCAGAGTGCCCCCTTCCTTTGGCTGAACCCCCTTGTCCCTAACCACCAGGCATTCAGTATTTTCCTTTCCTCCTCATTCCAAAAGATGGAAATTCTTCTCCTAAGGCTTAGTTACTGGCTATAAGAGATTTCAGATTCAGTAATTTTTCATCCCACCTGTTTTGTCTTTTGTCCCACCACCTTTCTTTTCAGCCCCCTGCCACCACATGAAACCCTCAAGAGCTTATCTGAAATTTAAGTTTGCTCAAAATTTAATTTGTCTCCCAAACTTGAGTTATATTGTATTGTTTAATTCTCCTGGGCATTCAGCTCCGCTAAAGGGTGGGGAATCTCTTAACAAAGACTCAATATCTTACCAAACTATAATTCCCAAAATGCATTCATTGTACAGGGCCATGATGGTTACATTGGCATAAAATCTACACACATTTCTGGTAAAGGCTGGACCATAGTTTTATTCCTGTGACTGTTAAACATCCCTGTTTAGAGTATTTACTCTGTTTTGAATCCTGCAAAAAACTAAAGAAAATTAAATATAACCCATATTCAAAATAAGGCAGTTTTTAAAAACATCTAAATCTTAAACAGATCTGAATAGATTATTTTCATGTGGTTGTGTATGTTAAGATGCAATTTAATTCTGAACAATGGAAGTATCTACTCATTAATAATGATAATTCTTGGAGGCTAAAATATTAGCAATGTAGAAAATTATATGTTTAAATCATTCACAAAAGTCAGTAGTTTACAGTCATATGCTTTTTTGTAGAAATAAAGAACAATAATAATATAATGGTAAAGTACCACCCCAAATTCTGGACAGATGGCATCTATCAGTGTTGCAGACAAACAGAAAAATTAGCACCTGGCTGTGAAAAATATAACTTCTTTGAAAATGGTAAGAATTCCTGTTTCCTGTACTGTCCAGACTTATTTCTGTTTATGCAGGCCTTTTGACTTCGATTTCTTTATATGTGCCATAACTGGTATAGTTGCTGCCACGTCCACGGATGCTTTCACCCTGTTTTGATACTGATCAAAGACTTCACTCTGCACGGTTTTTTTTGAAAGCTTGTTTGGAAGATTGCAGGAGTTTCACCTCATTTTGAAGGTAGTCCTGAATGGGGTTGCACTTCCTCTTAGGGACAGGGTTTGCAGCTTGGGAGTGCTCCTCGACCCAGAGCTATCATTAGAAGCTCAGGTGATGGCAGTGGCTTCGGCTGATCCATCAGCTGCGTCCCTACTTGGAGAACGATTGCATGGCGACAGTGACACATGCATTGGCAACTTCCCGATTAGACTTCTGTAACGCGTTTTACGTGGGGCTGCCCTTGAAGACGGTCCGGATACTTCAATTGGTGCAAAACAGAGCTGCCAGGTTGCTGACGGGGACTGGGCATTGTTCTCATATAACCCCAGTCCTCTGTCAGCTTCACTGGCTTCCCATTGAAGTGTGGGCCCAATTCAAGGTGTTGGTTATCACCTACAAAGCCCTCAATGGCTTGGGACCTGGTTATCTAAAGGAGCGCTTGCATCCATATATGCCCTCCCGCCCCTTGAGATTGGTGGCAGAGGCCCTTCTCTGGGAACCCTCCGTGAAAGATATTAGGAGGGTGAGTAGAACCCCACAGCTGAAGTTCTGTCAATATGAGTGTGAGTTGTTACTGAAACCATAGGTTCTGGAGAATAGATTATCATATCGTCTGAACTATTAACAGGAAGAGAACCCTTGGTTTGTCATTGGGTTATGAACTTGGGTTGTTCACCATGGTTGTTATCTTAGCTGGGTTCAGACAACACAGTAACTCACAGTTCAACAATAAACCGCTGTTCAATGGCCACCTACACTCAAGCCGTATTCAACCTTTTCATGTGAGTTATGAACCCAGTCAATGAGTGCAACCAAACAATGAGCTCATTAAACTTTCAACTGATGTCTCTAAATTTACATAGTTTTTTTTAATTCTTTGTTTTTAGGTGTCAAGTCATTGCCTCTACCGATGCCAGATAAAAATAAGGTAAAGGGATAATTTAGAACACTGGACAACTACATTTGATAGAATTTGCATTTTATTATACTTAGGATCCATTTCTGATTGAGGAAATATGTGTTTGTGTGTGTGTGTGTGCTTTGTTGAAGTCCAATAGACCTCTTTTAAAGAAAAGCTCCAATACTTACTCCACTGCACTGTGCGTCAAGATAATGGAAATTGTAACAATATTTTGTTATAGCATCGGTTCTTTCCACTGATTATCAGTTGAACTTAGATTAGGTCCATAGTAGTAGCGTCTTCAAAGCCCACCTGGTCCTACAGAACGTGCTAAAAACATCTATTTTTGTGGTATGTGCATGTGAAGGTCCACGTTCAGCTTCTCATTTCTGTCATCTTAGGTCTCCATATTTCAGGGCACTCCCATGTTTCCCATGTAATGCTAGTGGTAGCATTTTCAGGGAGGTGGAAATACTCTGCAGGATAGTAGGCATCCCTATTAACCCATTAAGCACTTTCAGTCACAGTATGTTGAAGCCTTATGTAGCATGAATTAAATCTTTGATCTGCTAATAATAGTGGGTCACTTAACTTTCCCCCTGTCCTGCAGTTCTCGGTAATTCCCTTCTAACCCCTGCTTCTCCCTTCCATTGGTTTTAGCCTAGTTCCTACCATCAAGCTCCACAAATGGAAATTAAACTTCAAGCATGGAACATTTACAGCTTAGAATCAGAACATACAGAAAGAGTTAGCTATCCCTGTACTTACCTTGGCTCAGATCCAAAACACTATCACACCTAGTCCAAGATTTCAAACGGCCCCATTGACTAATAGGGATAACACATGATAGCCAGTGTGGTGTAGTGATTAAGGGCACGGGGCTGGGACTCTGGCAATCTGGGTTCTAGTCCTCACTCAGCCATGAAGCCAGCTGGGGGCCTGTGGGCCTGTCACAGACTTAGCCCAACCTACCTCACAGGCTTGTTTTGGAGATAAGGTTGAAAGAAGCAGAAGGAGAATGGTGTATGCGGCTTTGAGTTCATCAGAAAAAAGTGGGCTAGAACTCTAATCAAACAATAAATAACAACAAATGGCTGTAACTTTTGAGAGAAATGGATGTAATTTGTAGATGTGCTAGCACCTTCTAACTAAATGAAGCCTGCCAAATTTTAGTCAAATAGATGCAGAATTTTATGTGTTAAGTTTTATTAAAGCATTTTATTCAGCTTCATGCAGAAACTCATCAGTTAGAAATAGTAGCCTCTGAATTTAATTGGTCAATAAATACTAGTTATAACAACTCTTTTCAGTTCCAAAGAAGACCCCCACCACCTGTTCCTCCAGAAGAAGAGGAAGAAGAGGAAGAAATAGTAATAGCCATGTATGACTTTCAGCCCACAGAACCTCATGACTTGAGACTAGAAAGAGGTCAAGAATATACCATAATTGAAAAAAATGACATTCATTGGTGGAAAGCAAGAGATAAACATGGGTAAATAAAGTTACCATTATTATCACTTTTTAATTGGGAGAATTGTCCCTATGGTATAGTGAATTCACTAGATGGTATTTGCAAGTATTTTTGTTGGTGATTTTCATGCATCTATAACTAATAGTCAAGGAAATGGGAACCCTGAACAAGTGTCTGAAGACAGTTTGGGATGGATAAAGTCAAGCTAGCAAAAGTTTAATCCAGATAAGATGGCACTATTGTGGTTGAAGAGACTTGTTGAATTGGATGGAGGTATGCAGCCAGCATTCGATAGAATTGCGATCCTCTGGAAGACCAATTGCATAACTTTGCGGGAGCTGGGTACTCCTAGACTTGGCATTATCTATGTAGTAGCAGGTAGCATTGGTCATCAGGGTGTCTTTTCAACAGCTCAGTCCTTATCTAGAAAAAAATGTTTTTTTCTACATTCTTTCAGCTACAGCTTCATTACATTATGTCTTTAGTCAATATAAAGTTTCAACAAGTACAGAATATTCTATGCAAAACCTTAGTTAAAATATAATTATGTATAACACGTGTAGGTATATAAACTGGGATAATTGCTAGTGCCTATAATAAACCTTGCATGTTCTATGCATTGGAGCACACCTGTTTTAAATATGTTCTTGGTCTCAGACACATTTATATAGAGTAAATTCCCACTCAAAGCATAGTGTCTACTCAGTGCAGCTTCCTGCTCTATCTTAGGGAGAACTTTGAAGGAATTAAGAATATTTTCTGCCTACCCCCTTAATTCTGATATTTCTAAACATTTAACAAATTGTACTCCATCTCAGGAATGCTTCTGGGAGTAACCAGTTGCACCTGCATTGGTTTCATCAAATATATATTGCATGGAATTAAATATTTCTCTTCATCTTTTACATAGTCCTGTCTAACCTTCTTGGTAGTTGTTTTCAATCAAGATTTTTTTAATTGGCAAGTTCCTATATTTCTGAATATATGTATATTTTTGTTACCTTTAGCAACAAAGGATATATTCCAAGCAACTATGTAACAGGAAAGAAATCCAACAGCTTAGATCAGTATGAGTAAGTAAATATTTACACATAATGCATGGAAACACATTATTGTTTTTGCAACTGCATGATGAATAATTGGCCTGAGTCAATTCTAGCATCCAAAGGCAAATAATTGAATTTTGCTTGTCTGATGACAGCAAGCTAACTTTTAAGAATTATAGGATTCACTGCCCTGGGTGGCAGTGATAGCCACCAATGTGGGTGGCTTTAAAGAGGGGATTGGGCACATTCACAGAGAAGGCTATTGATAGCTACTATACTTGATGGCTATATGTTATGTGTAGTGTCAGAGGCGGTTACAAGTATTGGGGAACTTGGGCCGGAGGCAGATGCTGTATTCATATCCTGCTTCTGAGATCTTGTGGGCACCCACTGTATGAGCAGAACGTTGGATTAGATGGGCCCTTAATTTGATCTAGTCTGGCTTTCTTTTGTTCTCAGCTTTTAATATTTCTCTCTTCCTAGGTGGTACTGTAGAAACCTGAACAGGAGTAAGGCAGAAATTCTTCTCAGAAATGAGGTGACTATTCATATTCTAGTTTGTCAAATACTCGTATAGTGAAATCTATTTTAAGAAATCCATACATTGAATAATCCTTATGAATAATACAAATAATAAAACTCACAAAGTATTTTGGAATATAAAGCTTCATTTCCCCCCTTTGATTTCAGGATAAAGAAGGTGGTTTTATGGTGAGGGACTCCAGTCAACCAGGTTTATATACGGTATCCCTTTATGCAAAATTTGGGGGGTAAGTCCCTGGTTTTAGTCCTAATTTATTTCTTGTATGAATGCAAAGGTCCAGCCTTGTAAAGGAAAATCTTACATTTTACCACAAAGATCTCTGTCATTGAGTAAACAGACACGAATGCTTCTTTCCATTTCCAGATGGGTACCTGGATTAGCTCAATTACATAAAGGGGCATTCTGGGACTGGTTTTAGCATTGTTGTCAAACTAGGCTAAGACCTTAATCCTGTTATACCTGGAGAGTATCCCAGTAATCATGGCATATGTCAGATTCCAGCTCCTGGGCCAGTGAATCTTGGGAGGAGTATCCGAAACCACATTCCTTCCCCTCACTGGCTCCCTCACAACTATGGACAAAAGAACCACAACAGGCTGCTTTCCAAGGTCACATCAGTGACCACAGATGAATTCATAGAAGCAAGAAAGGGAGTGATCCAGTGGGTGCGAGAGAGGAGGGAACAGAACCCATAGTGACCTCTCTCCGCCCCTCCTCACTCATTGCCATTAAGCAAACTAGATGAAAGCACAGACCCCATCTAGCTAGTTTGGGACTTTTGATGGGTTGGCTGGTCATCTTTGGAGAAGAAGCAGGAGGCAAAATTGCCCCTGTCCTCTTCCCACAGCCCTACAGAACATAAGTTTTTCAGAAGCCTCCAAGCCCTGGGAGCAGGGATGGGTTAGTGTGGAGCACAGGAGGGAGTCCAGTGGGCACACCAGCTGGCCTAGAAATTCTAATGAACCCATGGCTGCTGTACTGCTGACCCCAGCCTATAACAAATGGGAGCAGCTCCCCAGGGTTTCAGAGATGCCACGAACTGAAACTGAGACCTTCCATTGGTAAAGCATATAGCTCTTCATCATCTTTGTGACCATAATTTGCTTTGTTGCAATTCATTTCAATAATCATTGCAGGGGGGAATGCATTTTTGAATAACTTGATAGTGGTTACCATCCATCTGGAAAAATTTAATGAAGCATATTGTTATGAAGACAATATAACAGCCTTGCATATAAAAATACTCTGCTATATTTTACTCATTATATTGTTTTTTAGAGAAGGGTTATCTGGAATAAGACACTATCATATAAAAGAAATGATGACACCACAAAAACAGTACTATCTAGCAGAAAAGCATCTCTTTAACTCCATTCCAGAATTAATAGAGTATCATCAACACAATGCTGCAGGTAAATGAGTTCACCTGTCACTTGAATGAGTGCTGACTTACAAATTAGATTCATAACTTAGGAGAACAAGGAAAGCTTTACCAGGACAAGTGTAGAGACTTTGCAGCCCACTGTACTATTTTGGACTATAAATACTGAGTGCTTTATGGAACTCTATGACTGTACTGAGCTCAGGTGGCAGTGATGTTCCCCTGAAAATCTGTTCCAGGAGCAACATATGGTTTCGTTGGCCTATAATGCCTGTTTTGGCCTATAAGTCCTAGCTTTGCTAGTCAGGGCTCCCAGGAGTTGCAGGCCAGAACATCTGGAGGGCTACAAGTCATCTACCTCTGGTCTATTCAGTAAAAGGATTTTCTTCTGGGTCATCTTACTTTACAGCTTTTAGCTACCAGTACTAACTTCCATGGTTTGGTCTAATCTTTATTTGAACCCAGTTAAACAATTTGCATCCTATGGCAATAAGTTCTAGTTAATTAAGGCTGAGTTAAGAAATGTAACAATTTTTTTTGCAGATGAGATCCACTGTATTCAGTGATACCTACTCAGGGGAAACTTACACTCCGCTTCATGATTTCTGGGGGGGGGGAGGGGGCGGGGGGTCTTACTTCCAAGTAAATGTTGGAAGTTCATGACTGTACCTTAGTTTGTGCTAAACTTAGTAGCCAGTATCAAAGAGCTACCAACAGTGCATTGAAGGGCTTGTGTGTGCCCAGTCAGCTATTTTTTATTTGAATAGTAACTGTTTTATGTGCCCTGCTGGGTTTCTGCTGCACATTACATAACTCCAACCCTTAAAAGTTCTAAGATTTGTAGCCTGTGTGTGTGTGAGGTGTTCTATATTCCACAACATTTTAAAACACCACGCTGTTCCTAATTTTTTGAGGAGTTGAGAGTTATCATTTCTTACCTTTAATATTTTTGACAACAAAGTTAAGAAAAATGCTGGATGTGCTGAAACATTGTATTTAACTAGTTTTGAAATGCCATATGTCATAAGGTAAAGGAGCAGTATGGTTAATATTAATAACAGCAGAAAAGCTTGACCCATCTTCTGATGTAGATGATTTTCCATATAATTTTAGGTCTTGTGACGAGGTTAAGATATCCCGTGACTCCAAAAGCAAAACCCTCGCCAGCTACTGCAGGATTCAGTTATGGTACTTTGATTTTCCTATATAAAAATGCATGGTTGGTTTCTCCCACTGTAACAAAATGTTGGAAATTAAAATGTTGGAACTAAAAGTTGGAATTAAAATGTTGGAAATGCATGTCTGTTTTCCTTCTTACTAGTGGATGGTTTGATATCTGCATTGTTGGAAGGCCTCCTGAGCCCTTTATGCCCTCATATGTAGGGACAAAGTAGATGTGAAACAAGTTATATATGTGATGGGTCCTGGTATTCTTGTTTTTCTTGAGTAAATAGACCAGGCCATCAGGAGATGGAGGCTTTAACCCTTGCCCCCATCTAGGTCACCCATTCCATGGCAGCTGTTTGCATCAAGTGGAAAGCTGCAGTTGGCATGAATGGGCCAATTCCCTCCTGGGCCAAACAGCTGTTGAGTTAAACACCCTCCCCCTTGACCTTCCCATAGCTGATACGTTGTAAAGACAAAGGAATCACAGATGATACAACAAGTTATGGTTAATTCACAACATGGAAGCAAAGCTGTCAAATTCCTTCTCATGACTGTGGCAAACAGAGGAGGAAAGGGGAAGGAAACGCACAAGCCCTTCATACTAAACCAGGTTTTACTGTGTTATCCAAACGTGGCCTTGGTGAATAAATAAAATACTTCAGGTACTGGACTAAAAATTACTCAACATACTTTATATGGGATATGAAGCAATATGTTTAAATCATTTAATATTAATATGATTGCTTTATTATTACCTAATTGCTAAAAAGCCATCAAAGAGGTACACACCAATTTAAAACAAAACCTTAAAACAATACAGATAAATAAAACAGGAAACCACTAAAACTATATGACCTGAATGGCTACATTTAAAAAAGTACAGCTTCACATGCTGTCCAAAAGCTAAGGTGGGTAGGTGGGAGCTCTCATAGTTCTTGGAGGAGCACATTCCATGGTGAAATGTGAGACAAGAGAAAGTCCTTTTACTTGTGCCTCATTATGAATAAATATATTCATAACGAGATTTGTGGTCCTTTAAATAGCCAGGTCCCTCAGGCTGTTTAGGTCTTTGAAAATTAAGCCCAACACCTTGAACTGAGCCCAGAAAACAATTGCCAACAATGCAGAGATTTCAAGAAAGTATGGCACTGGTTTTCATCCAAGTTTGTAATACTTGCCACAATTAAAGCTCTGGACACTCTTGAGGTGTAGCTCCACATAGAGTGTATGGAATCAGTGTTTACTGTGAGTAACCAAGGCATACTAAACTGTTGCCAAAGCAGATTGAGTTAGGAAGAGTCATAGCTGGCACACATAACTTTCTACTTGCTGCTTGCTGAAGATCCAGAGTAGCATCAGGCTAGAGAGCATTTCCAAGCTACATACCTGATCTGTCAAGGGGGACACAATTCCTTTTAGAACGAATTGAATCCCAACCTGCAAGTCATCTTTCCACTGAAGAACAACACCTCTGTTGTATCTAAAATAAACTTGCAGAAGCATCAGAATGCAACTGCATGTATGTTTTCAAACCAAGAAAGATGAGAGTGTTGCTTAAGGATGTGAGATTAGATTACAAATCTACATTTGCTTATAAAACTTGCCTTACATAAAAACACCCATATTAGAAATATCTGATGGTTGGGAGATAAGTTCTAAAAGAACCCACATAGAAGATACTAAGCTGAACATGGAGTGGATGAGGGATGGTAGGGATGCCTGAGGGCCCGGCTTTATGGGTAGGTAAAGGAGTGGACTGGATCTTACCCAAAATCCATTTTGCAGGGAGGCTGTGAGAATGAGAAATAGGAATCCTCAAACAGGAGCCAAAATAAATTGGTAGTGGGAGGAGATGGAGAGTGTGGCTAGTGAAACAAACAAAACCACCACCACCACCACCACCACCACCCCAGGGCCACTGTCATCCACTCACTCAGTTTTAGTTTGTGAGTTTGTGGCTTCTTCATTTATCTGAACATCTTTGTTTTATTTTCCTTTTATTATAGAGAAATGGGAAATCAATCCTGCGGAGCTCACCTTTATGAGAGAACTGGGCAGTGGTCTTTTTGGTGTGGTGCGGCTCGGCAAATGGAGAGCACAATATAAAGTAGCCATCAAAGCAATTCGAGAAGGTGCAATGTATGAAGAGGACTTTATAGAAGAAGCTAAAGTGATGATGTAAGTCACGGCGAAAGTCCTAGTTAATCCTTGTAAGGACCCAAATGAGAGGCACAAGAAGAATGGACTGCAGCTGGCAGCTCAGTCCTATCTAGTGAATGCCTGAGGTCCCCAGCATCCACTGCCACTGAAAAAGGGGGGAAATGCTCCAGCTCCAAGAGCCTCCAAGGATACAGTGTTTGCAGATTCTTGCCTGCTTTCTACATTTCTCCAAAAATATTTTGGAAATGTGGATTCTGTGCTAGGAACCATAGAGTCTGCTTTTAGAACATTTAGAAGGGGAAGGAATGGGTTAAAAGCTGTGAGCAAGGGAGGCAGTTTCTGTATGAGTGGTGGCATAGGAGGATCCCAGGCAGATTATCCCCAAGGAAGTGCAGCAGGAGCTGCCTACTCGTCTCTTGAATGGAAGCTTTTGAAATACAAGACAAGTGTGCCTGTGTGAACTCATATAATTCTGAGTATGCATGTATGTTCACATTGCATCCCCAACAGAAAAACAATGTGGCCCTTTGCAGGGGAAAGGCTGTGCACCTCTGACCTAAACATTCTGTCTCCAGTGGACCTTAGGAATTGCCTTCTCCCTAAGACCTTCAGGTGCAGCTTTGCCCTGTGCTTATGAAAGCTTGAGCTGCGATTCCACATACCACCTTTCACCTGATGGTTCTTGCTGTGTGGAATCTGCTTCTAGCCCTCTTTGATTAGCTCCATCAGCCACCAAGTACAGTAAATACATTTTTATTTAAGAGCATTGCAATCATTAAGGCACTATATGGGCAGCATTATTCTGATCAGCTCTCTCACAATTTTGATTGTATTTTTTACATTTTGTTGATTTTTATAAAATAAAAATGATTATACCAGCCAATTGCTTTCTGGGCTCCTCAAATATATATTACATATTTTCCAAGTAGTTCATTAAGGCCATGCAGAAGATAATACAATATAATTTCTGAAATTACAGCACTATATTTGTTTTGGTTCCTTTCAGGAGGCTAACCCATCCGAAATTAGTCCAGCTGTATGGCGTTTGTACTCAACAAAGACCTATTTACATAGTGACTGAATTCATGGAGCACGGCTGCCTTCTGAATTACCTAAGACAAAGACGGGGACACTTCAGTAAGGACATTCTGCTGACCATGTGTCAGGATGTATGTGAAGGAATGGAATACCTAGAAAGCAATAGCTTCATTCATAGAGATCTGGTAAATATCACAAAGAAAACTCTAGATTTTGATTTGTGTGTAAATCAGAAAGGTGAAATAACTGGTGTTTAAACAGTGTTTTTTACTGTCTATAATTTGCCTTAACTCAAGGTGATCAGAGGCAATGGGAGATAGGATTCATGTACCTTTTAAGATTTGCATAAGAGGAAAGTAAGGTGATGTTTCATTACTGTACAGTGATGAACCGCACTTGCCCAAATTCTAACTTTTGCACAATTATTAAAGCCTTGGTCTCCTTTTCATCTGGTCACCTCCCCATGTCCAGCCCAAACTGTTCTGTTTACATAGGCAACAGATTTGAGTTTCCAGTAACTTAAGAAGCATTGATAAGTATTCTCAATTTTAAAAAATGACCCTATATTGGAAGCATGCCCAAACTCCTACTCATGTGTGACACTTGAGTGATTAAGGTTAAAACAGAACTTTGAATGAATGGCGGGATACAAATTTAACTAAGCCTCAGGTAATTTAGAGAAAAAATTCTTAATGTTTTCTATTATTTATCCTCCTGGAGAATTTTAATGTGGGCAGGGGGGATGTACTGTGAAAATGAGGCATTGAAGTTAAATATTAAGCTTTTCAACTCTCAGATATTAATGTGTGACAGTCAACTGGATTTAAGCATTTTATTCAAGTCACTGTAGTCCTGGTTGCACTGGTATGAGGACTGGCTTATGAATATATAGTAAATGAAAGTGCAAGAAGAAATGAAACAGAACATTGTTCACTTTCTCATTCCTGGGATATTACAACAATGACAATATCCGACATTATTTTCATTTCTGAAAACACTTATTAAGCTCAATGAAACTCTTGCCCATATAAAACTTTCAAAAACTGAAACAGCTGGAGCCATTTTAGTGTTCCTTTGTACAAGCCATGTTGTAACAGGCACTGAGTAAAGATACACAGAATCGTAGAATAATAGCATTGAAAAGGGCCAGTAAGGCCATCAAGTCCAGTTCCCTGCTCAGTGCAGGGCTCTGAGTTAAAGCACCCCTAACAGATGGCTGTACAGTTTTACGTCTTGAATAACACCAGTATGGGAGAGTCCTCAACCTTCCCAGGTAATTGGTTCCATTGTCATGTTGCTCTGACAGTCAGGATGTTTTTCCTGACGTTCAGCTGGAATCTGGCTTCATGTAACTTGAGCCCATCATTCCAAGTCCTGCACTCTGGGGTGATCCAGAAGAGATTTATTTTAATTTAATTTTAAGCTTTTATAGACCATCCCATTGCTAGCATCTCGAGCCAGTTTACAACACAAGAAATCCTGGTCTGTCTATCTGTGACAACCTTTCAATTACATGAAGAGTGCTATATGTTCCCTCAGACTTCTTAAGGCTAAACATGCCCAATTCTTTCAGACTTTCCTCACTGGACTTTGTTTCTAGTTCCCTGATCATCTTTGCTGTCCTCTTCTGAAGTTTTTCAGTTTGTCTGCATCTTTATTAAACTGTGGTGCCCAAAACTGCTCAATACCAGGCCTAAACTGTACTGAGCAGTGGCTTTTACCTGTTAGGATTGATTTGAAAATACACACACCTTTTTGTTTCTTATTTATTATATCTATATTCCACCTTTTTCCTTCAAGAAACTCAAGGCAGTTTACATAATCTTCCTCTCAATCTTCCTCTTCCTCACAACAAACCTGTGAGGTAGGTTAAGCTGAGAGTCAGTGACTCATCCAAATTTTCCCAATGAACTTTGTGGAATAATGGGGACTGGAACCATGATCTTCTGGATCCCAATCCAACAGTCTAGTCGCTATTCTAGTCTGGTCCTCTTTCCCTTATCCCTGCACTCAGAGTACACATACAGGGCTACTTTAGTGACCTTTTTATGCACCTTAAGTGGGTTCTGGCCAATGAAAATTTATGCTACATGAACAATGCACATATCAACTCAGAAGGAAGTCCCACTGCATTTGGTGGGTATGTTCCCAGGAAACTTTGCAACCTAACTTTGCAGCCTAATTTTGTTAGATGTAAAAAGACTCCTGGTCTGCCACTTGTGGTGTGCATTGTGATCAGGACTGCCTCTGCATGTGTATGGTTGTTGGAATTTAAGTTGAACACCTTCACACAGAACCACACCATTAACCTTATGACAATTCCTTTTCAGGCTGCTAGGAACTGTTTAGTGAAGGAATCAGGGGTGGTGAAAGTGTCTGATTTTGGCATGACAAGGTATTGACCCATTTGCTTTTTTACCTTAATGGATTTTGGGATTTATTTTCTTGCATTAGAATGTTTGAAACTTATCACTTTAAATTACAGGGGAAGCTAAAGTACATCTAAATTATGCTTGAACAACATGAGATCCCCCAAATCAAACACAGCCCTTCAGCCATAGATGGAAGCCCAGAAAGGACTTAATAAACCTCCTGTTCACCTGGGACTGTAAAATGGCAGGAGGAGGAAGTAGTTAACAGCCTGGAAGGTGTCTTTTGGGTGGCAGTCACATCTGTGGATCACATGGCTCAATCTAAATAATAGTTCCCTTGTTCATACTTGGAGTGATGTAGGTGGTGATGTCACTACCCAAACCAAGAGTTCTCAAAGTTTCTGCTCCTAGGTTCCACCTGAGATGAAATAACTGAGGCCCACTAGTTGCAACCTTGTGGCAGAAATTTCCTTGTAATAGGGAGTTCAGCATTCCGCTTTCTTCAGGCGAAATACAGACAAGGACTCTGGAGGTATCATGACTCAGCTTAGCTATTTCAAACAGAATTCGCTGATCCAGAGGCCCTAATACTGTTTTCCTCATCCGTCCTGGTCTCTTAAAAGTTTTCCTACCCACTTTGTTTCTTCTCCCTATCTGCCAGTTTGTTTCATCCTTCCCTCATGTTGTTTTTACACTCATGTCCTCTTGTTATAGCTTCTTTCCCATCTCCTTTCTCTGTATCCCCAGTTTTTAAAATACATTTTAAAAAATAGCTGTGGTCTCTAGCCAACTATTACTACCACACCTGCCATGCAGCCAAGTATGGGATGCCATTGCTGTGGCACAGGGTGGTCAAGCCAAGAAGTATTGGGCTGTTTGCAGCACTGAGACCCACCTGAAAACAGGCCAAATAGCCACTGGTGACTTCTGGTTCACAGTTTGTGAAATGTTAGACTCAGCCAAATGTATCTGTGGGTTTCTAGGGTAGATATCAGACCAGAAAGGTCACAGTGTTTCCCTTTTTAGGTATGTACTTGATGATCAGTACACGAGCTCTTCAGGTGCTAAGTTTCCTGTGAAGTGGTGCCCTCCGGAGGTTTTTAACTATAGCCGATTCAGCAGCAAGTCAGATGTCTGGTCTTTTGGTAAGAGCATTTGTTTGTCTGTTTGTTTAATCTGGAGAGATTCCCTCACCCCCCCCCCAAATCAATATTATAATACTGTCAGCCTTTTCAAATAATCAGATGAAATACTGAGCATGTAAGATAGGATTAAACAAATTCAAACTTTTAAAATGATCAACAGCTCTGTTCTAGGACCTCTAGATGAAATGGGCTGCAGACATCAGCTTTCTTATGAACTTTAAATTCAAACTTCACAGGTTTCAGATGTTATTTGTATTTTTAAACTCAAATGTTTGCAAAATATACTATGCTGTCTGTTTCTGATACAATATTCTAATCAATTTAATTTACATTTGTCTTAATTGAGTGATAGGGTTAATCATTTGAAAAGCTTACCTTGCACTGAGTTTTGCATTTATATGTGGAATTAAAAATGACCCATCCATGTTTATTGATTCTGTGATACTGGTTTCATATAATCAAGGCATCATGAGATAAACAGGTGTATGAATGGGCCCTCAAACCTCCCCTGCGATATTAATATTTATTTTGCTGTGTTTACCCTTTTCAGTCTCACTGGTTTTACTTCATATGAAGTCTTTGAACTTTGCAAATCTTAAAAGACTTAAGATCTAGAAGATACTGAGAACAACATGCATTTATTACAATTTTCTGTTAACATATTTTTCATTTGGAATACATGACCCAGCTAGAGTCATCTCTGTGACAATCAGCTTATATGTATCTCTTAATTTTTCAGGTGTTCTCATGTGGGAAGTATTTACTGAGGGCAAAATGCCCTTTGAAACTAACACAAACTATGAAGTGGTGACTATGATTAGCCAAGGACACCGTCTATTTCGACCAAAGTTAGCTTCTAAGCATGTTTATGATGTGATGATGGTGTGCTGGCATGAGGTATGTGATCCCTGAAATTCAGTTTAGCTGCCAGTTAGTTGACACTGCTTTTGTTGTTTGCTAAAATGTCACATCCTCAGTAGGGATTCCTCAATATACACAATTCTTCTTTACAATTCAAAATAGCAGAGAACATTTGAAGCATAATAGCAATGACAAAAGAGTATGAAGCAAGAGAGATGGGACAATGAACATACATGCTTTAAGAGCTAAAATATAAAGCCTGTGTCTGGAAATGAAAAACTGCATTCAAACTCAAGAGTAAAAGTTGGATGATTCCTGATTCCACTTGATGAAGTAATTGATGATAAAGATACTATCCAAGATGGCAATGTGAAGCTTACACAGTTTTGGAGAACCTACAGTGTGAAGAGAAGCCTGGACCTCTTACTGTATTTAGTTGTCTGCCCAAAGTATTGTAAGGCACAATCCTATGTGAGTTTAGACAGGAAAAATGCCTACAACTCCCAGAATTCCCCCTCCAGCATGTTGGGGCATTCTGGGAATTATATGCCTTTTTTCTGTCTAAAATTAAATTGAGCCCTCGAGGAATCAAGCAAAACGTCTTAGATACATGCAAATATTAACCACTACCAAAATAAACGTGTCACTGTCAATACAGTCATTCTTATATAGTGATACCTCGGTTCACGAACACTTCAGGTCACAACCAAATTGGGTCATGAACAGACATTTTGGCAAAATTTTGCCTCTGTTTGCAAACTCCACGTCAGCTGATGTCCACGATTGTGGCCATGTTCCTGCATGAACACAAATGTGATCACGGCCATCTTCCCTGCACGAACACTCCAAACAATAACCTCCCCACCCACCATGAGGGGGAGCCATGAGGGTGCACTCATCTCGGTCGAGGCCTTCCCAGCTCCTCATCGCCGCTCCGCTTTTGAGTTGGAAGAAGGTCCCCTTGCAGGCACTCACCTGGCTCCGGGAGGGCGAGCAGGAGTGGGAGGCCGGAGAGGTGGGCATGGGACAGCTCCCCCGGCCAGGAGAGGGCCGCAAACAGGTAAAGGCTGCTTTCTGCAGGCCAAGGCAAGAACGGGGCCACAGCCTGCTGAGTGAGGTGCCTCCCACCTCTCCCTGGCACAGGGGGCAGAAGCATGGCGGCTGCTTGGTGGCGGCGGCTTGCCCTGAGAAGGCCACAGTGGAGGCATGGGAGCTATGGCCCCACTCCTGCTCTGCCTTGGCCTGTCCGCCCCCGGGCTTGGCGAGGCGGCCACGGCTTGGCCTGCAGCCTGGGGAGGTGGCTCATATTCTTGTGGTTTTAAAAAAATTACATATTTATTCATTTAAAACTTTTATATGCTGTCCTTTATGTATAACATAAAGTTATGGTTCAGAACGGGTACCACAGAAGTACCACTGTACTTCTTTCTGTGCAGTTTCCCTTAGAGAAGGATAGACAGCTGCTGAATGAGATTTGATTTGCCTTAGTCTGTTATCAATCCATAACCTCCACTCATTGCCCAGTTACAGCGTACCTTGGCTTACGAACTTAATCTGTTCCAGGACTCTGGTTGTGACCCAAATTGGTCGTGAGCCAACTCAAATTTCCCCATAAGGTTCAATGCAAATATGGTTAATCTGTTTTGTAACTGTTTTTTAATCACAAATTTGAAGTGGGCATGCTCAGGGGGGAGGTGGGTGCAATGGTGGGTGCACTGGGAGGCGGTGGGCGCGCTGGTGGGAGGCGGGTGCGATGGCGGGCGCGATCATGGGCGCAATCGGGGAGAGGCTGGTGTGATTACGATCATCACCCAATGTGGAGTTCACAACCTGAGGCAAAATTTTTCAGAAATTTCTGTTCGTGACCCGATTTGGTTTCACTGTATTTTACCTCTATAATGCTGCAATTCATATGGCAGTCTTCAACTTTGCTTGGATGAGAAATAATTGAATTGTTTCCAATTTTATGGTTTGTCTGAGTGCTACACCTGGTTACTTGGGAAAAATCTATTTATTACATCCAGTAATTTTTATTCGGCTTTAGTCCAAAGGAAACGCAGTAATTAGAAACGTTACAAAATGACATTTAACACATGCTGTTATTTTCTAGAAACCAGAAGATCGTCCAACATTTCAAGTTCTGCTGCAGATGATAGATGCTATAGCAGAAGATGGTTCCTCATGACAAGACATAACAGAAGTTCACAGTAAGGAGACAGTGTTTTCAAGATGTTGCTGCTGCACTCTCATGAAGGCACAATCCTGGGTGCTGCTTAAAATGACCACACAGAAAGAAAGCAGCAGTGCATACTATTTATCTCTAAAAGGACCTTGTGAGGTACCCAAAGTTTGCTCAGTTATTTAAGTAACTGTCTAGCGGACACCTCTAGCAGTTGCCAAAGAGAAAAAGGTGCTTCTTTAACTGAGGACAAGCTGGAACCCCCATTGATTGCAGAGCAGTGATGGAATCATATGCAAGTCTCTTCAGTCTTTTTTTTACATTCAAACACGAAGAGTGGCAGTTCATGACTTTTTGAATCATGGCCAAATACTGCCACAACAATGCTTCTGAGGCCTTCCTTAAAATTCCTTGTCTTAGAAGGGCTGGCCGCAGCTATAAATACTGTTGCTAGCTCCTGAACTTAACAGTTCTGTCTTTTTTGCTTTCTATCAGACATTGCAGAACCTATCAACCACTGGCTCAGAACTGTTCCATCTCGTGGTTAAGTTTGTGCTTTTTATCTTTTATCACAACAAAGTCTTTTTAGAGAATTTGTAAGTGGAGAATGCTAAACCTATAACCAGTTCTGTCAACAGTGCTAGTTGGTACACTGTAGCAGTTAGCTGATAGCAAAGTAAAACACAATAAAAGGTATATGGAGTACAAGAGGATAGTACCTGGGTACAAATCACATGGTTAAATAGAGATTAATGAGGGCAAAGGTGCTATGGGCCAATTACTATCTTTCAGCCTAACCTACCTCATATGGTTGTTGGGTGAATGGAGGAGAGGGAAAGATGAATGGGAGAGGGAAAGAAGTGTAGCATGAAAATGTAATAACATTATAGTGGTCTGAAAGTTGTAACTCACACAGGACATGGTGTAGTATAGACTAATATGAAAGCAGGCTTAGAATGTACTTGAATAGTATTCAGAATAAACTATAAATACATCTACATTCTGTAAATATATACATTGCACACACTTATTTATATGAAATAGGAACAGACTGTTTCCTGAAAGTTTGGGAAGCAGAGACTTCTGAATCCTTATTATGTTGCACATTGTTTGTGATATTGCACCTGTAGCAGAAGATAAGCAAGCATGCTCCAAGTTTGACTATAAATCAGAATCTTGTTGGTCAGTTTGTTGTTCTAACTCTGCAGCCAATAAAATGTGTTTCATGGCCCTAACAATGAACTATTAAGATTTCATTGTTTATTAATATTGTAATTCATTGTTAATATTGTAAGCTGTTCTGTGCTCTTTTTAGAGAAAGAGCAGGGTATAGAAATTCTAAATAATATTGTATAGCAAAATGGAGTCTAATAAATATACCTGTTTGAAATCCTGATAAAAGCTGCACCCTTGATTTTCATCTTCTGATAAGTATCTGGCAGAACAAAACTCTAGCACTCTTTATTACAGTTGCCTTTTTTAGCTTTGTTTTTATCTAATGTGACATACACTGACCAGGTTTGCATGATCATTATAGCCTGTCCTGGTATATTTAAAATGTTGAAAAAGCATTTCAAGACTTGGTACTATGCAAAAATCTAAGCTAAGGAATTTGGAATGTCTTGAAAAACTAAACTATTGGATTTGCACAGGGATGAAGGGTGTGTGAGTGAAGTACTGGGTTTGTTTCCCAGCCTCTCAGATGTTATTTCATTTTATACCGCCCAATAGCCAAAAGTCTCTCTGGTATGGAAAAAAATCTCTTTGCTCATTTTATCCTAAATAAGTATTATGCCAAGCCTATTTGAAGACACCTCTACATGCAGTGCCACAAGTAATTTCCAGACTGGTCCAGTTCTACCAGCCAGTTTCCCCTCCAGTATGGCCCCTCCTGGTATTTTGGACTGCAACCTCCTTGGGCAAAATGGTCAATAGTCAGGAATTGTGGATGTTGCAGTAGAAAACCTCTACAGGAGCTCAGATTGGGGGAAGTGGATCTATATATACCATGAGAACTAACCCAACCCCCCAGAAATACTACTAATATCTATAAAAAAGTAGGAAGACACACATTTTTATATATTTTATCAAAACAATGTATACTTTATTCCTTTTGAGCATGTTAAAAGGACAAGCTTCAAAAATCCATCAAAGTTAACATTAAATAAATTATTCAAATATGCTGAATCATAATGTGCTTAGTCAGAACTATATAATTTCTTTCCTGGATGACATGAATCCTGGATTTTCCTGCATACATAATTATGCTTCTGCGTTAAGTACAATGTTTGCTCACTTCAAACTGCACATCACTGCTGACAAATATACTAGAAGTGGGCAATCAAGATGTCCCTCTAAATGGCGAGATTGTTTTAACACAATTACACTTCCAAAATGGTAACCTGAATAAGTGCTGCATTTAATATGCACAGAAAACCAGTAATTATGGTATTTGGTGAAACAGTGTGCATAACATATAGTGGACATGGGAATGGAGCTGCCCATCCATGTTCACTTACCACTAATATATTGCATGTTTCAGAGAGAACAATTTCTATGAAAAGAAAACCCTAAACTTCAAGCAATACTTGTTTTAAAAACATGGATTAATTTGCTTATAAATTTATAAGCCTATATTTGATGCAGTGGTATTCTACAATAGTGTTCAATACTTGATAGTTCTAGTTCAACATGCCCACATTTAATGACTGAAGTCATTTGCCTGTTTACAAAACAGTTAAGAAAATTATAAGAAAATAGCAAAACCAACCGACCAGCTGCAGAGAATCACTATTATAAAGAATTCAAATGTAATTCTGTGCAAAAGCAAGTAGGAAACTTCAAAAATATTTTGCTTCAACTAATCGATGTAGCCTGAGCTATCATAGGGCTATATTCCAAAAAGCTTACAAATATCTATAATAAATTGAAAATATATTTGACGGACTTAGGAGCTTACCAGACCAAGTTTAAAAACCTAGTGGAAATGAGTCTATGAAATATCTTTTTCAAAATTGACTACATATATATGAAAGCACACAAATCTTATTTAATTCAGGTAAATCATTTTAAAGATGAGAAATTCTGACAAATACTACAAATCTACGAGACTGGTTTGAGATAGATTTATCATGACATGTACCTAGATTATTTTTTAAACCTTTCGAGAACTCAGTGACTGCATGATGCGATACTCCGTCCCAGTATCCTTCATCTGTCTCATGCAATACTTTAAGGAGACAATCCAATTGCCTCCATGACAGATGCTTGGTGGGGTTACGCATATCCAGTGCAAGGCACAACAGTAGCAATCTCTGTCATCACCACACCTCACATCCTGCATTTTCTCTAGATGCCATTTTCAGCCATCTATATTTACGGATGAGGAGGGGAGGAGGCTGAGGCATCAACTGGAAGTGGTATAAATGTAACCCAGCCACCTCTCGCAAGTCCCCCTTTTTCCCCTCCGAAGCCTAGCTGTGAGTTCAGCAAAGGGCAACAACCATGGTTCTTTCCACATCAGTTGTGAGAGCTCAGTCTTCTCAGTGCTAGTTCCAAGATCATAGGATCTTGGCACTCAGACTGTGCAGAATCCTATGGCCTTCACAGGGCGATATTGGAAGGCCATTGGCTTGCACCCCCAAAATGGAAGTTATATGCAATATTTACTTTCCTTTTTCTCCTTCCATTTTAGATGGGCATAAGGTAACCTCTAGAAAGTCTGTTTTTAGAAGGCGTGGAACACACTTTGTTTTACTTTAAATGCATACATGGAGATAAGTGGAATAAATTCTCATTTAGGAAAATTTAGGGTTATATTTTTGAAAATAGTAATAGTACAAGGTTTGTTTTCTGGATAGTTTTAATGATCAAAGAAATGAACTGGTAAGAAAAATAATACAAGTTAAACTTTCAATAAGCTAGTAAAAAGAAAAAACAAAACACACACACACACACAGCTGGATCCAAACTAGGCCATGCTTGGAACAGAGCCACTGAAATCAATGGGATGACTTAATAATGATTACCTGAAATCCCATTTATTTTAATGGGTCTATTTCTTTAGATCCAAAACATTAACAAAATTATTCACTGCTACCTGACATAGGAAAAACACATTTTTGATGAATGCACAGTTCTTTGCTAGAATGTACTTTGTTATTTTTCCTTTTGGACCTTGCCAGGTGGAACAATATAGAACTGGAACTATGCTAAAGTGTCAGCCTTTGGGAAGGTCATGATTTCCCATGTATAAATACCTTCACCAAATTACCTATAAAAGCATGTTTAATATAGTAAAAATCATAAAGTGCCATTTATGAAAATATATTACATATAATTGTATTCCTTAGCCAAAACAGCAGTCCTCCAAACAGCACAATTATCAGTGGTGTTCATATGCTGCCCGATATGGGGAATAGATGGAAACATCACCAGTAAACATACTTCCTGTCCTGTTCCACAAGCAGAGATTAGTGACTGTTTTCTATCCCACTAAGCACCATCCTGGGTCGGTGGTTGCAAGTTGCTGCTGCTTTTAAGCTAACTTTTGTCAAGTTAGCTGTTCAGGCAGCTAGGGATGACTTAATGGTGGGCGTCCCGCTGCTCAATTCCTTGACTGAACAGAGTATTGTCCTCATCACGTGCCAAGGCTGGAGCCTCCATGTTCTCCAGTAAAGTGTGATGAGCCTCGTAACCATGGACAGGTAAAACAGGCTCTTTTTTAATCGAAGATGCCAGTTGGCTCCAGTTGATGCTGACATTTTTAAAAGCATGCAGAAAGAAAATGCCAATAATTATGGTGAAGAATCCACTCAAGGTCCCAATGATATCGCCAAGCTCCAGGCTATTCCATTCCTTGAAAAGGATAACGGAGCAAATCACCACTGTAGTTGTGAAGCAGACGTAATAAATGGGCGTCACTAGAGATGTATTGAACACATCCAATGATTTGTTGAGGTAGTTAATCTGGGTACTAACGGACAGAACCAAGATGGCTGCCAAAATATAAACCAGTGGATGTCGGAAAACTGGCTTCTGATACAGCATATCTTTAATAGCAATGCCCAGTCCTTTGACGGAGGAAACTGAGAATGCACCAATTACTGAACAAATGGAGATGTAGACCAATATATTTGTCTGGCCACGCCTTGGAGCAACAACAAAAATGAGCACCAGCGAGATCACAATTATAATAGCGGCAAATGCAATGAACACTGTTCAGGAGATGGAAAGAGAGGGGAAAAAAAGCAGTCAACATAACATGAATTAAGTAATGATAAAATGTCTATTTGTTCAACTGAGCGGAATGGATCTGGAGACACATAAAGAAGAGTTCTGTTTACTGAATGACTGATATAGTAACTTCAGTATGGCAAAGGAGGGACTATGTGTGCATTTACCAATTAGAGAGCAGGAAAAGTTTTGTGTGAGAAACTTCATCTTTCACAGCCTCTAGAGGAAGCTATATGCATTCATAGGGCTATACAGTACATTTTTATTTATTTATTAAAACATTTTTATGCCGCCCCATTCGCCGAAGCCTCAGGGCGGCTTACAACAAATAAATAACGTTTTAAAATATATACATTAAAATAAATTACAAATATACAATATAAAATAAGCCGCCCTGGCCAGAAAAATTCAATAATATTAACATTTAAAATGCTGCTTGAATAAAAAGGTCTTTGCCTGGCGCCGAAAAACAAATACACATCCAGTATCTATTGTTGTAAGCCGCCCCGAGGCTTCGGCGAATGGGGCGGCATAAAAATGTTTTAATAATAAATAAATAATATTACCATTTTCCAGGTCAGTGATATATATAGACAATTTTCAGTGCTGTCTGATATCCATGCCTGACCTGACATGCTGTAGTCTGGTTCCCATCAAACTCCCAATTGCACAGTGCCTGGACGCAGGGAGGAAACAATCCTTTCACCCACTGGGAGTGCCTGCCCAAGCTCCAGGTCCACACAACATCTCATTTGGGAGGTAACACTGCCATGAAGCCTATGCATGTAGAGAAGGGCATGCAGATCCCCAAACCCACTGGTCTAATGAGGGAACAAACTGGGTACAATCAAAATATCAGTAAAGAAAACACTCAGGATACATTTACTCATTCAAAAGTAATTATCTGAATTACATACCTGGATCTTTTAGCTTTATTTCCATTTCAGCCAATGATGTGACTTGCTCCTCTTCAGGAGCATGAATTACCATCACAGTAGATCCCAAAATGCTTAATATGCATCCCAGCTTCCCATGAATATTGAGCTTTTCATCCAAAAAATAGGAAGATAATATTGCACTGTTTGGATTTTTAAAGAAAGAAGCATTAAATAGAAATAGAATGCTTCATATACAATAAACCTAGTCTGAAGTTTAGAATAGCCTGAATTAATAAGAAGCAAATTAAATACTGTACATGTTTGATTCTAGCATCTTAGAGAACATTACAGTCAGTTGAAAGAATACTACTACAGAATTGTTCTGTAACATTGTCCACCTAAAGAGGAAAGTTGGGCAATTCACTGAAATGGAAGAGAATGTGAAAGGCAAAATGGGGCAGAGGTATTGAGGAAGAAGAAAATATTTTGAGTACAACAGTGTGTATACACCTCAGGCTGCTTTAATGCTTGTTCTTACTTTTATTAGCTGCCTGGAAGTTGCTTGAAGGGTTGTGTGGATTTTTAAATTACGGTAGTGAAAAAGGGTCTATGAGAATCTGTAATCCAGCACTGGATGCAAGCTACAGAGTACTTAATATATTGGATGTTCCAGTGAACAAAACTAATTTGTACTAACCTTATAAGAACACTTAGCGCACCCAAGGGGGTTACCAAGGTTGCTGGAGCAAAGGCATATGCAGCAAAGTTTGCTGCTTCTCCAATTCCCACTGCAAAAGAAAGTAGTATTAGAGAAACTGAGCTTTTCCTAATTATGAGCACTTTGTTGTGATTGTATGTCAGTTTATTTCTCAATGCCTGTATTAATTCTAACAATGCCTTTTTGCCCTCTCGTGAGACAAAGAAACTTTGGATATTACTAGAATTAGTAGTATGAAGTTACTTTTTACCCCCAGAACAGTTCCATTTGTAAAGAACACCATCTGGTCCATTCTTGTTGGATGAATTTCAATTGTTGCGGCCTGAGGATGTGGCCAAGGGGCTTGGAGAAGTCCATCCAACCACCTGTTTACTCGACCCTTGCCCTTCTTGGCTGCTTACCAAAGCTAAGGACAGGAAGTGGTCAATGCTTCTCAGAGGGAGGGCCAGGTCCCTGACTCCTTGAAGGAGGTGGAGATCAGGTTCATCTTAAAGAGGCCACACATGGACCCAGAGGTTGCCACCAATTATAGACCGATGGCTAACATTCCGTTCTTGGGCAAGGTGCTCGAGTGGGTGATGGCTGGGCAACTCCAAGCTCCCTTGGAGGAAACTGATCATCTAGACCCATTTCAGTCTGGTTTCAGGCCTGGCTATGGGACTGAAACTACCTTGGTCGTCCTGTATGATCACCTGTGCAGGGAGAGGGACAGGGGGAGTGCATCCCTGTTGGTTCTCCTGGTCCTTTCAGCATTGACCATGGTATCCTTCTGGATAGGCTGGCCGAGTTGAGGGTTGGAGGCACTACTCTGTGTTGGTTCCACTCTTACTTGGCTGGCTGATTCCAGAAGGTGGTGCTGGGAGATTATGGCTCTGTACCATGACAGCCTGGCCATAGAGTTTCACAGGGTTCCATTTTATCTTGCATGCTCTTCAACATCTACATGAGGTTGTACATCTACCTGTACACTGATGACACCCAGCTTTACCTCTCTTCTACATCTAATCCATGTCAGGCAGTGGCTGCCCTTAACTGGTGTCTTGTCTGATGTGATGGGCTGGATGAGAGCCAATTAATTTGGCTTTCTCCATGGTGGTGCCCCAGTTGTTGAATATGTTCTTGGGAGAGGTTTGCCTGGTGCCAGCACTGTATTCTTTTCAGCGCCAGGCCAAAACCTTATTTTCCCATTATTTTTAAGACCTAATTCTTATTTTAATTGGGTTTTTATTATAGATGTGATGCTGTGCCTATGGTTGGTGGACCATCCTGAGATTTTTATGGATAGGATAGGATAGGATACGAAAGGAAGGATGTATAAAAAGTGAATGGGCTGATGGCTTTCCATGAGTCAGGTTATGATTTAAACATCAGCAACAAAAGTAGCAAAAGTTCTGTAAGATATTAACAGCAAATCTTCACATCTGAAAAGGAATCTTCATTCATTCAGCCTTGCTTTTGTTCACTCCCAAACTACAAGAAGCTATTAATCATGGGATTTACTTTTGGTTTCATTACAGCGTTAAATTCAATCTATACACGAACAGCTCTTCCTTTCCTGCTTTTCTACTATACAACCTCTAGGTGGATATGCACTATAGTGGAATAGCATGAGTATACTAGGAAAAAGAATGTGATTTTTCCTTGTTGTAATTTAAAACCTCATTTTCTCCGTTCTAAAAGAAAAAAAAAGGACGGGGGGGTTTCTCTGAAAAAAAAACAGAAGACAAAATGGAAGCTGTAATGTCATCTAAAAAAGTCTGCAAACAACTGTGAGTAAAGAATCAACACATTCTCAATAAATGCCTTGTGTAGAAAAATTCTAAAGGGGAATTCAGTCTGAAAGCCTCTACACACCAGAGAGTAAATCACATTGAATTCCACAGAACTTACTTCCCAATAGTTGTGCACAGGAATGCACTGCACTTATTAGGAAAAAGAGAATTGAGAATTTTGAATTCTAGAAGAAACTTTAAGTGTTTTCTTTGATGGATCAGGTTAACCTTTATGGTGCTTCGTAATATTATAGTTGCCACCAGAAATACTGCCACTTTTCCATCAGCTCACACACAACATGTGGACATTGCATATTTAAAGCATTGATATACCCCTGTCTGAGAAACCAGCCCAAGAAGAGTATAAACAAAAGCCTTTTCTGATCACTCTCCCCCACAAGAATACCACCACAAAACCATAGGGAACTCCTTTCCTCATGATTACCATTTGTCTCTGTGCCTTCCCACTCCGGAGCCCCCAGCTTGGGAACTACTGTTTATAACAGCCCTTTCTACTCAAGGGCAAGATAAACCTTCCAAAGTTCTGCATCACATGGAAGCCTAGAAGAGGTTTGTTACTGCAGGTGTTCAGCCCCCAACACATGTAAAGCTACAAGAACAGTGAGGGGGACATTCAGGAGAGGATATTCACCGGGTATTATTTGCGGGGAAAGAACTCAATACGGCTCTGCCATGAAGAACAGTGAGTGATGTTTACAAGTTGAGATATTTACTTCAAGAAATAAGCATTGGCCTTTGACAAGCACTTTTCAGAGGCAGCCTTATATTATCAAAAATAGAGAGGTACTTACTTGAAAGCAGCCCTGCCCACCATAACCATTCCTTCAGGTAAGAATACCCACCCTGTCCTGGAAAAAAAAATAACTATTTTCAGTCTAAATAACAGGAAGATCTTTAAATAAAGTCTTCAAGGTACATCATCTTGTTTCTCTATCTAAGAACAATGCTAGCTGGGAGATGCTAGGAATTGCAAGACTTTTTTGTCTAAACCTGGATAGGACTGCACCTTTAGCTGAATTTTGGTTGATGCCAATAAACATATTTCTATCTGGAATATTTTTAATCACTGTTTTGTAAAACAAACTCAAAAATATATTAAAATGTATACATGAGATAAAGTGCTATGATCAGTATAAGAATACTCTAGTATATTATGAAAATTGACCATCAATAAAAGTTCATTAGGTGATGATATACTTACCTCGGAGCAAGCCCCAATGAAAGTAATGAGTCACCTTTGAGTAGCCAAGTACAGGATTGTATTGTGTTTCACTTCCAACTTGTATGCATTCAAAACTGTCAGCAATTAACCCCACACCGCAAAAAAAAAAAAAAAAATCTAGCAATTGGATTATAAATTAAATTATCATTTCAATCTGGATTTTCTCATGTCTCAACAGAGTGACTATATATTTTAAGAAATTGAAAAAAGGCCCAATTAACACTTTCTTCATAAGAACTAACATACTTTTTGTCCCAATATGCCAGCATGGTTTCCTGCAAGTTTGTAATTCGATTGGTTCTCCCAAAAGGATACAATTTGGATATAATGTTTAAATTGCTCAGATTTAAAACATTAATTTTAAAACTACATGTGCTTTGAGGTTCAAGAGCTGCACACCTCAAAAAATGGAAGAAGTCTGGTTATTTTAATGATAGTAGTAATATTTCTTACCAGCTCTAGTGCATCCTTTTTCAGCTAATTGCAGAAGGCCTTTTTTTTTCAATATAAAGCTAGAACCAACAAAGATACTGGAGCCTATGGCCAAGGCCACACCTACATATAAACTGTATTTGCTTCCCATGGGAGTAGAAACACTCAGTGTTGTTTCGTTGGAGTACTTCCCAGAATAGGCAAAGAAAGAAGCTTGAAGCTCTGAAACGTTGAGGATTTGACACCATACATGATGAGAGTTTGGGCAAACCAAAGGAAACACCTCTCCTATGGGAAAAGAAATGGGTATTATTTAAAGATATCATTTCCATGTCCACAAAAGCCTCTGAAGAAATGATTCATATATTCATGGCAAATGCATCACTTGTCCCTACTCCTGATTACTGTATAGCTTCCTATTACATTAGAAGATTATAACACAGCAGTTCCCAACATAGGGAGCAACAATTTAAGTAACAGAAAGCAGTTCCACATAAATGAAAAAGAGAAAATGGTATATTACTCAATGCTTGATGATGGAAAACAAGGTCCAAATTATTGACAGATACTGCTTTAAGTATCTGGTATTTGTGTTACACCCTGTTTGCCTTGGAGCACAGGTGTGAGCTGAAGAAAATGTCTTCCTACTCTTTTGAATTTGACCAGACAAAAACAAAACAAGAATTCTAAGTTTGAAGCAGCAGGAGAAATTTGCCAAGAGGTTCCTGGCAGATACAAACAGCTTAGTCTAGGTTAGCAAAGTCTTAGACTGATAATTCTTGGGATCTATTTTATTCTGCTTCCACAATTCATCTTTAGCATGCATAGAAACATTTAAGGGCTCTGTATTTACACCACTGGTCTATTCCGCCTAGAATTGTGTAACTAGCAGTGGTGTTCCACCACAGGTATAGGCCTTGCAACACCACAGAAAGGAGAAACCTGCTTCAGATAAAACCATGAGGCGGGGAAAGAAAATAGTGGAAGGAAAAATTAGCAAACAATACTACTGCCAGATTTTTAAAAGTTATAGTTCCATGAGAGCAGTGAGGAGCACCTGGGGTCTACTTTGGACACATTCGTCATGGCTCTTCTGCTGGAAATTCTTCCCTTAGAGAAGCCAACCACTTGCATCTGGGCCCAGGGCTGGCCTAAAACATTTTCCTATCTGAGGCAAACCAGTGCATGACACCTACCCTTCACTCCCAAGCAAGATTCATAATAAAAAGGCAAAGGTAAAGGTTTCCCCATGACATTAAAGTCTAGTCAGGTCTGACTCTTGGAGGTGGTGCTCATCTCCGCTTCCTAGCCAAGGGAGCCAGCGTTTGTCTGCAGTTTCTGTGGTCATTCTGCAGTTTCTGTGGTCATTCTGCAGTTTCTGTGGTCATGTGGCCGGCATGTCTAAACACCAAAGTGCACAGAACACTATTATCTTTCCACCGAAGTGGTACTTTTTTGTCTACTTGCATGTATACGCATTTGAACTGCAAGGTTGGCAGGAGCTGGGACAGAGTACAGGAGCTCACCCCATGTGCGGATTCAAATTGTTTACCTTTTGATCAGCTAGCCCAGCAGCTCAGCAGTTTAAACCAGTGCGCCACATTTGAGGCACCATAAACACCTCTCCTCTCTGGCAGTAAAAGTGCAATAATAGTCAATTATCTAACCATTTGCTGTCCTTTTATGAAATCTCAAATCAACTGCCTGAGAAAGTTACTTCCACTCTGTGTAATGGCATAGCTGGCCCCACATGGTTCAGCAACTGATGATTCAGTAACACATACTGTTTCTGAACTACCCATAAAGTTTCAGCTATGGGGCAGTATAACATGTATAAATGAAAATAACAACAATAATAATACATATGTAGGTAAGTAACATGTACAGGGAGTATGTAATTAACAGAGGCAAAATTGCCAGAGGAACACAACAACCTGGCTTTGTTGTCTAATCTCTCTGAGTACTTGCCACCCCAATTTGAATTTTTCTCAGGCAGTGTGTATGTGTGTGCATGCAGGGGAATTACTTGGTACAGAGTAGGCGGATCCTTCATAAATATACATTCCACAAGTGGCTGCCTCTGAAGAAAGTCTTTCATTCATGAAGTCAACTTTTCGTAATAGTAAAAAGGAAACTGGAATGACACCATGTCAACTATGCAGTATTGGGGGGGCTGATAAAAAATCAGGAGACAGACAATTCCTTCATTTTGGAAATAATTTGAACACAAATAAAAGATTCACTTATTTTAGCAAATTGTAACAGATGAACATCAGCCTAAGTTCAGATGCACAGTGAAAGAACTAAAGGGATCACACAATCCAACACAGCTTGGTGAAGCATTTGAAAGCAACAGTCAAGCACTCTTCAGCTACACCTACATCTAATGATGCAACATTCGGCACTGCAGAGAGGGGAAAAATATGAAAATGTACGAGAGAAACTTAGCCACACATTCTTTGTGCACTTTGAAAAAGATGTTTTGAACCCCCACACTGAGGAAAGGCTCTGGGGAGGGGATCTGAAGTAGCCAAAAGGCTGGTGGGAAATAGTTAAGCAGCTGCTTCTCCACTCTGCAGTTTCCCCATCCAAAATGGCTTTGCATTTTTAAATTGCTGCAAATTTAACATTGCTTAAAATATTGCTAAGTTCCCTACAACACTGTTGTGGCTTTTGAGGGGAAGTCAGGCTAGAAATTCTTCTTTGAAACGAATGAACATACTATGTGTATCCAGCCCTCCTGAAGTAGAGTGCATACAAGCAGTCCCATCCCTTCCAGAAAAAGTGCATACAAAAATAAGTTCATTTTCCTGCTCCCCCGCTCCTCCATTGCCATTTGATGTACTGATAACTGAACATATCTGAAAGCTGCTGGTTGGGAGGCATCCAAGTTCTATTCAAAGTAGCCTGCATGTAGAACTATTTGCCACCAAGGGCTCAGGTTAAGGGGCAGCCGGCAGCACATATGTTTGCAGGAGCAAGATGGTTGAGTGCTAATATAATTAAGCAACAATCAGTATGATTGATTACTTGCTTTCAATCTTGCACACAAGGAAGAGGAAAGAAAAGCAAGAGAGGAGAATTAAGTAAATACTGGCTCATTTACTCACAGTGTTGACATATTTCTGATGCCTAAGTTTCATCAGATACTCTTTTCTTAACTTGATGCGATGACTACTCTCGGTTTCAAATAAAAAGCCTTGGTATGTATATAGGTGTGTGCACAGGCGTGTATATACATATGCATGTGGATAGATTTCAAGTCAAATAATATACAACAGATCAGCCTACCTTGTTCTCTTTGGTATATGTATACACTTTGCTTCCTATAAACACACATTTGTTATAACCAATTCAGCAACACCATACTAAGCGTACAGAAATGGGGCTTTAAATGGGGGGCTTACATCAAGTCAACATGGACCTTTTGTAGAACAGCAACTGCCACTATTCCAGATCAGAGATTATCACTGCTGCTGTACCTAACACCGGAAGAGCCATGCAATAAACTTCAAACTGGTTCTGTCAGTATCTGAAAGGGATTTAATTGGATTGGTGTTCAATTTATATTAGCAACAGCCATCAGTAAAAAGTTACTGAGTAATTCCAAAAGAAGGTAAGAAGGAAGTCTCATTTGACAGCTGGCAAATGTTTCGTAAGTTTTGATGGTCCAGCAATGATGCAAGTTAGGAAATACATTCTATAATCATGATGAGTAAGAAAACAGATACACCTTCATGCTATCAGTGGCATCCTACTTAACTTCCTGAACATTATCCTGACTTAGATCATACCTGTTCACCACCCAGAGAAGGAAGACTATTTAAGCTATTTGAATTCCTCACAAGAGGAACAAGAGTGGGATGTATATGTAATATAAAAATAATAGTCATCATCCCATAGTTGGTTTTAATCTTTTTTAAGCACTCAGATTCTTGAAATTGTATCTGCATTCAAGATTCTTATCTGGCCTCACTCCTGCAGAGCCTTTTTACCACAGAGAGGACCTAAGGTGGCAAATTTAATCACAGGAAATAATAACTTAATAGCTATTTTTTTAATGCCAGAGAGGCCATAGAAGAGAGGGAAAGAGTGTTATTTGCATTGGTTTGGTTAGCTTTAGTCACATGCCCTTCAATATTCATTGCATATTGCCAAGCTGAGTGTGGCACTCAAGTAAGGTAGCAGCAGATAACATGGACTGTTGCACTGTACCTCTGATAAACTGTCACACACTCCCCCCCCCCCCTTTCTGATACCTCTTCTCTTTCCATTAAGCTGAGTGGAAAGAGAAAGCCACTCTCCCTTTTGGATACTCCAGGAGTAGAATAAGGCCTGGTGAAGCGACCTTTTGTTAAGCTCAGCTTCCATACACTCCTATGCCACTACCCACATTTCTCCTCCATGGGTCTCCCTTACTCCTTCGGACAAGTACAGCCCTCGATTAGGTTTTCCCTCCGCGTCTGCTACCATTCCTCCACACACTGCCCACCCCTGAATATGCGACTTCCCCACCACTTGTCTCCATAGATGGATGGTTTCATCAGCCAGCTGTCCGCTTACTCGCAGCTGCTAAAGCTACAAGAACCCTTTAGCCTTTGGCAACTCTAAATGCCAGGAGCACATCGTATGAGGAACACTGAGAAGGTGGATGGCTCCGAGCATGTACAGAATGCCCGAACCGAACCATCATATTGCGGCTTAGGATCTGAGTCTCTAACCCCACCACTTAGGATTCTGGGTTTCTAATCAAACCTATAGCCTCCCATCAAGACTGAACCCCAACACTTTTCCCAGTGTACACTGTACGTTCTGTCCGTACTTCTCGCTGTAGAACATTAAGCACGAGAGAGAGAGAAGAGAGAGGGACTGACCTTCGCGGCACGCCTCCCGAAGCGGCACCACTTTCTGCCCCATAGCTGAGCCGGGGACTCCCACAACAGCCAAACGCCCTGTTGCAGCCCCTACGGCGTAATTTTTTTAGCCTCTCCCTCGCTTACCAGCTCTGGCCAATCCGAGCCGAGGGGCGGGCGTGAAAGGGGTGGACCCTCAACCTCCCTGCGCAAGAGCCCAGGTTCGGTCTGGGTCGGTCCATTGTGGCGTAACAGAGGCGGGTTACTCGTGTACGAGTTCCTTTCAGGGCTATTGTGGCGCGAAAGCGTTCCCAAGAAACCGTGAGGATACCTTCGATGGCTTACGTTCTGGAATTCCCTCTTATGCCTACTCTTGAGGTTCCCCACGCCTTCTGTAGTTTTCCCACTTGAGAACAACTCAGAAAGTGTATGCGTGGTCCCTTGTATTCAGCGTCTTTAGGAATGACTGTTACTCCAAGTTGTGTCCTCAGATTGCTTCTTTGATGTGACCTAACAAGTATGTTGAGCATGAGAGCCCAAAAGGTGTGGGAACGTTACTAGCGCAAGATGGAACACTGGATGTTTCTGGACGAGGTGTTTAACGCACCAAAAGAATTTTTGAGGGAGAAGACATGACCTTGCACTTGTAACTCTTCCCGTATTTTTCCATTGCTTCTTCCGTCGTTTGTTCTTACCACAAAGAATCCGTTAATGAAGAAAACGTGGCACAGCTATAGCTGCTGCCAAAAGGAGAAGTTGTAACCTTAAAAGAAGTATTCTGCACCCATGTTGGTTTTTTTAAACAGATTTCCTACAATAAGAGAACAGGCTTAACTTGAGAAGAAAGCATTTGTTTGTCTTTATAATCTCCCTATTCCTAGTACTGAGACTGAAGGTGATATACAATATTAAAGACTTGTACAATTAAAACACTGATAGTAATACACAAAAGTTATATAGTAAATATCTTAAATATTGTAAGCTGTCCTGAGATCTTGTATAATAGGATGGCATACAAAAGCTTTTAATAGTAATAATAATAGCTATGATATTAAAATGATATAAAATGACAAAACTAAAACATCAGTAAAAATTACTATAATGCTAGTTCCATGAAATTTCACAGTCCAGACTATTCTCAAAGGCCTGCTGGAACAAAAAAATTTTTGCCTGCCTCCAGAAACACAACAGGGAATGTACCAATCTAGCCTCCCAGGGAAGGGAGCGCCAGAGTTTTGGGGAAGCTTTCCAGCATGGGCCAAAAGATGGACCTCCCTGAAGAGCTTAGGGTATGGACAGAGTCATGGGAGACGAGGGTCTTTCAAATATCTTGGGCCCAAGCAGTATAGTGCTTTAAAGGTCACTTTGAACTGTGCCCAGAAACAGACTGGAGGCCAGGAATGCTGCATGCTCCCAGTAGCTGGCCCCAGTCAACAGTCTGAAGCATCTGGAGTTTCTGAACGCTCTTCGGAGGCAGTCCCTTGCAGAGCTCATTACAGTAATCTAAGAAGGATGTAACTACGGCACGTGTGTGAGGGCCAAATCAGCTGTCTCCAGGATCATCCAGGCTCAGGGTTGAATCCACCCAAGTTACAGACCTCTGTCTTCATCAGGCACATGACCCAGTCCAACCCAGGCTGAATCCCTATTCCTTAATCTTCCTTCCAACTGACCAGGAGGGCCTCTGCCTTGTCTTCAGTTTCTTTGCCCTCACCCAGTTTCTTACCGCTGACAGACACTGATTTAGTATCAAAACAGCTTCCTTGGAATGAGATGGAAAGGAGAAATAGAGTCGGGCGTCATCAACATACTGGTGACATGGAACTTCTGAACATCTCTCAACAGTTGCATGTATATTGTATAATGCATTAGCCCCCTCTGTTCCTGGCATAGGTGCGTGCATTGATGCCATCCGTGCACCTGGCTGCAGAGGGAGAGCAGCCCTTGGAAGTCCTGCACACAGCGGGGAGAGTGCAGCCATGTGCAGGAAGGGAAGGATAGAGGTATTGCATGGGTGGGTGTGCTTGTGCATTAGCACAGTGTGTGGCAGCAGCAGGGAGTGCAACTGGAGTGCTACTCTGGAGCAACAGCGCAAAAAACACTGCATTTATCAAACTGCTCTCAGCCATAAACCTGACTGGATGGCCTTGCACAAGGCACCTGGCTCCTAGATTCTTTAGCCTTAGGTAGGCAACACAAGACCCATAAGTACCATTGCACTCTCAGATGCTTTTCTTGAAGCCTTCTGAGGTGCCCCATCTGAGCTATTTTTGATTCATTTAAAGGAAAATTTCTTAGTTGCAGGTGGGATCACTTCAAAACAAAGTGAACGCCATAAGCTGCTCCCAGCTTTTCTTTCTGCAAATGATTCTGGATCACTTGTGGAGCTCAAAGTTATGCTTAGGAAATGAAGGTGGCAGGTGGCTACAGGCCAATACTTTCATTTGCAGCGGTGTATTTAGTGGTAGTGCCCAGTTTCATAAATGGAAAAGAACATGCACAGGCCTTCAGAGACTGTCTAGACCAGGGGTGCCCAACCTTTTGGCTTCTCTGGGCCAAATTGTCTCAGGCTACAAATTAAACACACACTAATGAAAGCTGATGAGCAAAAAAAAAAAAAAAAAAAGTGCATAAGTTTTCGCGATATCTGCCACCACAGATAAGCAAAAAAGTCCTCACATAATAATCCTAATTATGCAGTACTCCATTTGGAAACTTTTAAAATCATCAACCAGGTCCCAAGTTTGTGATCGCTAATATAGAAAAAGAACATATCTAAGTAGTAAAACTTATTTGATTTTTTATATTTTTATAATAAAAGTAAAAGAAAGCAACATAAAACTAGTGAGATATTTGACACTGTATTTAAGAAACTAATACGTTAATATCTGGTTCAATGGAAGGCTGCAATTCTCAGTGAGTTATCAAGGTGCTCATCAGATATTTTAGTTCTAATTTTACTCTTAGTGTGCTTCATTCTTGAAAACAGTTGCTCACAAATGTAGGTGCTGCCAAAAATTGAAGACATGAATAAGGTGTGATTGTGAAGCAAAGGATATATATCTCTGAGAAGATAGGACAAACTCCATGATCATTTTTTAAGTAGAATGTCAGATTGCAGCTCTATGCATTCCATTTGAAAATTGGCAGGTAACATATTTATGTTGACTGAAAATGGAGTTGCAAATATTTCAAAATAGTGATTATTTTCCAGGAAATCTTCAAATCTGTTTTTTAAATTCTTGTATCAAATTGAAAAGCAAGGCTGCGTATTTTTCGCTGTTCACAGGACTGTGTTTAGCCAACATGTCAAAATGTATAAAATTGTTTGCAATGGTAGATTGAAATATTATTGATAGTAGCTGCGTTTCACTTGCCAAATCAACATGAGCACATGTAACGTCTGATGGTGTCAGTTCAACTGCGCTTGGAAGGTAACACTGGGTCACACACTGCCGTAAAACTGAAGCCATGATGCGTACAAATAGCATACGTACATTTATTTTACATGACATTGCAACACAACATTATCATCGCAAAAAAAAAAAAAAAAAACATGTTTTAGTAAGTTTATGATTTTGTGTTGGGCTGCACTCATAGCCATCCTGGGCTGCATGTGGGCTGTGGGCCATGGGTGGGCACTCCTGGTCTAGACCCTTTGTCACCTCCATATCTTTCTTTTGGAAGGCCCTACTACCATGAACATCCTGTACATCCACATGTTCCCATCAGACAGGGATTTAATTTTAAAAGCACTTCTTGGTAATTTGCAACGTTAAGTACTGCTGTGTACATAGCTAGCCCTTATCAGCAGCACTCTTACCTTATTTTGCAGTTTCGTTCTCAAACTCACTGACACTCAACCAGCTAGATTTGCTGATAGACTTAATTGTGGGACCTGCAACAGAATATTGCAGTGTGAAGCACTGTGCACGCACATGCGCGCGCACACACACACACACACAGAGGTTTTGTACATATACCTCTTCAACAGTCAGGTAGTAGTCAGTGGTTCCTGAACATGCTCAATTCTCATGGACTAGATTAGGTTTCTTCCACTGTATGATTGTTGCCAGTTTTATTTGTATTTTTGTAAAACTTTTTGATAAGCTATTCTTATGTGTGGATGGTGCTGTTTGTATTTTCAGTGCTTAAAGAGTTAACTCACTAGGATGATGCATAGGTGTGTGTGAAATCTACCTGTTTAGTATTTACTGTCCATAACGAATTTTCTGCTGTGGGAACTTAGGGAACTTCTTATGAGTCTGAACAGTTAATTTAATTTGCTATCTTCTTACAGCTGTCATAAGTTTTATTTGTCAACTCAGTTAATCTGACAGAAACTCAAATCTTGTTTTTCCTGTTTATGATTAATTATGAAATTAAAATAATTTGATACAGACTTGATTTATTAAAAGTCTACCATTTTCTTAAATGGTAATATTTTCCTAGCAATCTAAATATATTTGCTTTCTCCTGTGTTCTTTTACAAGACATACATATGCCAACTTGTATGATTCCATGGCTCATTTGTTCCATAGACCATAAGGTAACTTGCTGTACAAAGGTTTCTGTTCAAATATTCTTTATACACTGTTGTTTAAATGGAAGCCATAGCAACTAAGTCCTCTTTCATCAATCCTCCACAGTCCTTTATGCATATGCTAAAGTGAGCAAGACTCCAGGTATGTCACACAGCAGGTGTGACATGCAGTAGAGGCTGCATAGATCAGGTGAATGCTTTGCACGCTTTTCAGTATAAACCTTTCAAAATGTACTCAGGTTTGTATATAATTATAACCCATAGTACATGTTGTTGAATCATGGATTGTGGTTATATGTGAACCCAGGACTATGGATCAACTATGAGTTGTTAAACTGACAAAGAGAACCCATTGTTTGTTGTTGGGTTGTGAAATGTGGGTTGTTTTGCCAGACTATAGAGGCAGCTGTCTACAACAGTCAAAATAAAATCTCAGCTTACACATCAGAACTGCAGCACTGTAAAAGCATATGGGATAAAGGAAAAGAGTTGGCAAGGGAAACAAACCATAAACTGAAAAAAATAAACCATGGCTTGTTTGCTCATTTGC